AACTGCAAGTTTCATGTTTCCTTATAAACTTGATGGTTCAAATTATCTACACATTTAGTAACTGTCATCTTAACCTAAAGGCTTGTTGAACTCTCCCACTATGATAGTGAGTTTGTCAAAATTTCCCTCTACTTCTATCAATTTTTGCTTTATGTATTCTGTGGCTTTGTTATTAGGTATATCTAAATTTAGAATATTTTTATTTTCTTTCTGAATTGAGTCTTTTATCATTATATAGTGTTCCCCTTTCTCCTTTATCTTGCTTTTTGTATTAATAAAGCTGTCAGTTTAAAATACAATTAACATTTACATGGTATATTTATTTCCATTCTTTTCAAGTTTCTTTGTCCTCATTTTTTCATCTATCTTTTGTAAAAGCACATAGCAGAATTTAAAATCCAACCACATCTTCCTTCCTTTAATCAACAAGTTCAGACTATTTATTATGATAGTTTACTTGATTCTTATAAATGTACTTTCTACTTGTCACTTTTTGCTGTGTTTTTTCTCCTTGCTTTCTCAATTAATTGAATTTTGATTTGTCAATCTGTTTTTCTTATTCATTTTTATTCGCCCTGGTTCAAGAGTTTTGTTCCCTATTTCTGTCATTTAGCAATTGCCAAAGAAATTGTACCATACATATTTAACAACTCTACAAAGTCTAAACTCAATATATCTCACTTTTTACTGTGGATGTTTACCAGTTTTAATAAAGTCTAAACTATCTACATCTCACTTTTCTCTCCTCCTTCTCTCTTTCCCTTCTTCTTTTCCTTTCTCTGATTCTTTATGCTTCTCCTCCACTCCCCTTTTCCCTGAATATTTCACTTTCTTTATTTCTTTTTTTTTTTTTTTTTTTTGAGATGGAGTCTCGTTCTGTCGCCAGGCTGGTTGCAGTGGCATGATCTCGGCTCACTGCAACCTCTTACTCCCACGTTCAAGTCATTCTCCCGCCTCAGCCACCCCGGAAGCTGGGACTACAGGCATGTGCCACCACACCCAGCTAATTTTTGTATTTTTAGTAGAGACAGTGTTTCACCATGTTGGCCAGGATGGTCTCGAGCTCTTGACCTTGTGATCTGCCCGCCTCGGCCTCCCAAAGTGCTGGGATTACAAGCATGAGCCACCATGTTCGGCCGATTTCACTTTCTTGATTACCCAATGATGACTAAAAAATTATGTTTGTCATCATTTTGCCACATTCTATTTGAATGTAGCAGTAGACTCCAGAAAAATCAGTTACATAAAGAATATCTTCTCTTACTGACTTGAGGGTACATGTCAGGAGTAGAATTTCTGGATCACTTTCAGCTTAAACAGATGTTCCGGGTGTGGTGGCTCACGCTTGATAGTACCAGCACTTTGGGAGGCCGAGGCAGGCGGATCATGAGGTCAGGAGTGAAACCCTTCTCTACTTAAAATATGAAAATTAGCTGGCCGTGCTGGTGGGACTCTGTAATCCCAGTTACTTGGGAGGCTGAGGCAGGAGAATCAGTTGAACCCAGGAGGCAGAGGTTGCAGTGAGCTGAGATGGCGCCGCTGCACTCCAGTCTGGGAGACAGAGCTGAACTCCATCTCAAAAAAAAAAAAAAAACCACAAACCAAACAAACAAACAAACAAAAAAGGAAAATACCAAAACAGTTTTCTTCCATGGTGATTATACCAGCTGATAGTCTCATCAAAAGTATATGAAGTGTTCATTTTCTCAAACAATTGCTGTGATTGTATTTTACCGAATAATTTTTGTTAAGCCTTATTTGGGGACAACAATTTATCATTTTCTTGAAATGGCTTTGTTATTAAGTGTATCTAAATTTAGAGTATTTTGGTATTTTTTTCTCACGTTTACTGAATATTAAGGTCTACTCTTCTCTGAGTTGCCCTTATTTTTCTATTGATTTATATAAGTTCTCTATTCAGAATACCATTTCTCTATGTGTGTGTTATAATAATCATACCCAAATATGTACTCTTATTCAGTACATTAATGTCAGAATATTTTAAAAATATATTTTAATGACAACTATTACCTGTCTTCTTACATTTTCCTGTATTTTACAACTTTTCAATAGGCTTTGCAATACTTGTATATAGATAAAAATGTTTTATGAAAAATATATTTCGCAAAACGATTGACAGGAACGATGTGGTTATTCAACAGAGAAATGGAGCCAATTCATTTGAGAAGGAAGCATTGAAGGGCCAACATTAACCCAAGGATGGAAGGGGTTGCTTCCTTTGAGGGTGGGGAATGTGCTTAAGGTTAAGACACACTGGACAACAGCTTTGCTGGGTGGACAAATTCCTTGGGAGGGTGATTTGTTCAAGTTTCAGCTGGGATGTTGGATTAGGTCACTCTGTGCCTCTACTAATTGTGAGTCCAGGATTAATGGCAGAGTAAAACACTTGGAACTCTGAGCCGAAGAATATCTGGTGTGAGATGGATTCGTGTGTATCCTACCTAATCCGAGTAAACAAGTCTTCTCCTTTTCTCAATTCTATTTTGTGCAGAAGCTGGTCCTGCAGATAGAAGGGCCATTTAGAGAAGAATTGACAGGGCAGAACTAATGATTGACCACGTTAGCTCCACCGAGGTGATGAGAACAGGGTGGAGCTTTGAGTAATGGTGGGTGCTGGGAGAAATGACCTTTAGCAGAGACAATGACTGGGGAACTGGGCTGTTGGGTTTGGCAAGTATCTCACCGCAGGATCTCACCATCCCAGCTCAAGAACGTGAGGAAGGGTGCCTACCTGAGGGAAAATGGGGATAAAGTAGCTGACTTTGGATTGATTTCCCTGGCCCCATCTGGTCATCGCTGCTGAGCTTTAGGCAGAGCAGACAGACTTAAACTCATATATAGTCTAAGTGATGTGTGGGGGCTGGGATTGATGGACAACATACATATGTGAAATTCAAGGAACTTGCTGGGGTCTTCATCCATGAAAGGCTAAAGGAAACTTTTGCCCCAGAGTGTGTATTTAGGTAGAAGCAAGGGTATGTTTGTACGTGGGTATGTGTTAGTGTTAATAATAAACGATGCTTATCTAGAGATTAGAACCGGTCACGGAGGTTAAGGATTTTAAGAGAGTCCACAGCCTTAAGAAAATTTTTCTTTGGATAGGAGAATACGGTGTGGAGCATGGCTGGGTGGAGGGAGAAAATAACTTGCTTATGTGGATTGACTACTGCCGAGATAGATCTTCTCAACTAGGAAAAAAGAAGGAACAAAGTAAGAAGGGAGAAAGCAAAGAGGCCCCTGAGCCTTCTACATAGCAAGAAAGTCCGAGGAAGAAGGCGAGAGCAGCGGCCAAGGCAGGGGCGCACCGCACAAGGGTCGGAACGCTGGGAAGGAGGGCGAGGTCAGGGAGGGGTCTCGAGAGCGCGGCCACCCACGCTTTGCCCCCTCACTCCGCCTCTAGAAAAGGAGCGCAGTCCGGGCAGCGGGGCTGTCTCGGGAACCCCGCGCAGCCACAGCAGAACACGCAGCAACACCCGCCGTGAGCCAGAGCCTCTCAGCGCTGGAGCGCCACGCGGCCCAGACAGTTCCACGGGGCGGGCTCCGGCGTCCATTGAGCGCTCGGGTTGGGTCTCACAACACTGCTTCACCCAGTTCATCTGCCTCGGTGGGTGGGTCCACTGGGCAGGGGGCGGGGACCAAGGGAGGGCAGGGGTCGCCTGCGCTGAAACCTCTGGTTCCTGCTGAGCAGGAGGCGCCCGTGTCCTCCTCCGAAAGAGCGCAGTGCACCCAGGACACCGCGCCCGGACGCGCGCCTCGGACGTCGACCACAGGTCCTCAACTCCCGCGTGGGCTCCCTCTTCTGGGTCCAGGTGATCTGACCTGGGGCGTGGGCACTGGGTGAGGCGCTAACCTGAAATTGAGAGGGAAGAAGATTCCCTGGTTCTACCCTAGCCCTTCTGATACAATACGAATCATAAACTGCTGCCTTTCACCTCAGTTTGGGGAATTTGCATAATTTTCAACCATGTGAAACAACTTGAATATGCTGTTTAGATTTGTTTCGTATGATTTCTCTCTTCAGCCTAACTTTTTTGGGGAGGTGGCAGACGGCGGTGTACAGGGGCGGCGGGGTGGGGGATGTGTTCTGGATCCCTCCCCGTTGCTGTCAAGGTTGTAAAAGGGACATTTCTAACACCAGCCTTGAATATTAGCTGTGTGGCAATTCAATGCCAACTTATTCCTTGACTTCCTCCTATGTGCTTTGGGCCGATTTTACCAAACAACAGTTGGCAATGAGGTGTGCAAAGAAGCATTAGAAAATGCCAAGATTTTGCTGAATGTAATGGGCCCTGCATACTCTCATCCTACCTTACATCACCTTTGTCTTCATGCCCCTTCATGTGTGTATATGTTCATCTTCTCCAACCAGCTCCTCTACAACCTGAGAGAAGCCAGGGATACACCGGACATTAGTGCCTAAACGGTGTTTTCCAATAAATGGAAACAGCAGTAACTTTGAAACTTAAACGGTGCTTGTGAGATCTAGTACTATTTGGGTTGTTAATACCTCAATTAACACAAAATATTTCTTATGGTTACATGTAGAAAGGACTGCATTTTGATCCACTTAGTTGAAATGTGTTGTGGCATGTAGTAGTCTTGGATAGGCAGTCAGGAGTCTGAAGTCTTGCGGGACCGTATCACTTATAATTGTTCTAATCAATAAAGGGAGAAGGTTGGAGCACAAGCTCTTTAAGGTTTCTGCCAGTTTTAAAGGTCTGTGATTAAATGAACTTTTTACATTTACATAAACATGTTGGATTTCAGTGGCTCCTGAAGTTTTGATCAGAACGTTGGAAATCAAATTGGAACTGTAATGTCCTAAAGGAAGGTGTGACAATCAGTAACTTAGAAAAAACTAGCAAATACCTAGTAAGCATATTTGGCTTGATCAAAAACAAATATATGTTTGTGTGTAGTTTTTTAGATCAAGTGATTGAATAATTTTTTTTAAGTTTTTTTTTTTTCTTTTTAAATAGAAATGAGTTTTGCTGCAAGAAGATGGTTCTACCTACAGCTGGGCTGCATGATGCTGATCAATCTGGTTAATGCTGACTTTAAGTTTCAAAAGGGAGTGCTTGCTAGCATCAGCCCAGGGATCACCAAAGACATTGATCTCCAGTGCTGGAAAGCTTGCTCTTTGACACTGATAGATCTTAAGGAACTCAAGATAGAGCACAATGTGGATGCTTTTTGGAATTTCATGTTGTTCTTGCAAAAATCTCAGTGGCCTGGACATTATAACGTCTTCTTAAACATAGCTCAGGATTTCTGGGACATGTATGTAGACTGCTTGCTTTCAAGATCTCATGGAATGGGCAGAAGACAGGTGATGTCTCCCAAATATAATATTCCACAGAAAAAAACAGGAGGTAATTTAAATGTGTATTTAAAATAATTATAGTTTATTTTTATTTAAAAGTCACTACTTAATTCTTCAAATTTTTTCAAGTTACCCAACAATCTAGCACATTTGCATATTTAGTTTTTTCCTAAAATGATAGGTTTTGATTTTCATTTTTACTCATATTATTTACAAACCACACGAGCTCTGATGTGCAAAGAATTCTAAATGATATTGGAATATAATACACTTTGGTAGATAATTAAAATTATTCTTGTTTCCCCATGAATAGTTCATAAGAAAGTCATATAACCCTGTAATTATTCATATTACATTTGTTGAAGAAATTTTAAACATCAGATGTGTATTTAGGCTTTTGAAATTAATTTTTTCATAGAGTTGTATAAAAGCAGGAAATCTTAAGAGTCATATTGGAATGAATATCAACAATGTGTTCTTTTAAATCTTATTGGACTAGATTTTAGTCTATGAGAATATTACATTTAAGAGAAAACACGAAAAATACCTCAAGCAAGATGACAGCGACCTGAAAACTTGTCAGTATGTATGAGGTCAAATACTTCTTCTAGTAGTTATACAAATTATTTCTTTAATACTGATCAACTTTTTTTTTGTAATTGCTTTATTGCTGTTGAATTATTTCAATCTTTTCAGGTAAATTCTCAATACTTTTTGAGTTAGAAGGTGTATTTGTACAGTGTCTTCATTTTGAAGAAAACACAAAAGGCAAATGTGAAATATATTTTTAATTTAATAGTCAATAGAATAAAATGATAACCAATTTTATAAGGTATTTTATACATTAACATTGACTTTTAAAGTGTGCCAAAATTAATAGCAGTATTATCCTAAAAAGTAATATTTAATGTAGTATATTGTGTTGTTTTTGAAATGTACATTTTATTACCAAGCCATCTTCTATATTAAAGTATGTTTTATGCATTAAGCACTTAAACTTTTTATGTTTTCCTTTTTATTGTCTTTGTTTTGAAAAAGGAACATTAAACAAAAAGACAGTAAGAAATTTCATTTTAGTAAAGTATAATTTGATAGAATTTTCGTGTTAGCTGAGTTTTTTTTATTTTGCCTGTTTTTATCTCACGTCTTATTTCAAAAGGGATGTGCAGCTTAAATATACCAAAGAAAAGGAAAACGTGAAGTAGGGGAGGAAATTGGAACAATGGGACATGAAGACAGGAAAGTAATACAATGGAGTTATGGTTTAGAGGAATACTTTCTGAATGCATGTCATAAAAGCCTATACCTTTGATGAAGGGTACCTATAAATTTGGTCTGTCTCCCACTTCTAATACTAAAGAGGGACACGTGAACAGTTTCAAGATTCACATGCCTATAAGAAAATCCAAACCACATGTTCAATAGAGGTCCAGCCTTTTCCAGGACAAAGAATCAATACAAATCTGACTCGTAGGTTTTCACAGTGGCTACCGTGGTTTATAGCACCAGTTTCAAGTATCCTTACAATGACAGGTTCTCTCCTATACAATCTGATTCAAGTACATGCAAACTTAAATATAAAAAGTTTTAAAATCAGCTAAAATAATACTGAACAAGTAACTGTCTATGGTCCAACTTGATCCAAGAATAAACTTTGAATTAAAGGAAGGGCATTCTTTGCCCTTCCTTTATGGAGCACTTTCAAATTCTGATGACATTTATTAGGAGTTTTATATACACTCATAAGATTACATTTTACATGTAATTTCAGGGGGCTGCATAAACTCCAGGTAAAGAATCTTCAATATTTAAGAAGGACCTCATAGCGTTCAGTAATATTGTTTCATATAACCAATTTTGCATAAGTGAGTAGCAGATAATATGAGATTTTGGGCTAATAAATTCCTAGATTGAAAATATCTTATCTTACCAATTAAGGATGGATCCCTAAGCTCAAAAAATCAACTGGTTGGAGGGTAGGGCTAATGTTCTCATAAAAATGACCAGAAAGATATCCACCTAGAATTCATTTCCTGCAGAGGAGCTGAAGTGGTACCTAGAGGCAGTGTTAGGTTTTCCTTAAAAAACAGTTCTCTTTTACAATCTGTGGGCAAATGATTGAAGCTCAAAAGTTCAATGCTGTAAAGCAAGACCACATAATTTTAGTCTAAAAAATTGTTCAACCAGTTGTCCTCAATCACTCATAGTTGTCATGACAGTTTTATTGCAGCAATGATAAACATTTTAGATTAAATCAATAAAATTAGTCTTCCAGTTAATGGCAAAATGGTTTCTAATTCTTTTAATTGAATTTACATACTACACTGGATTAAAAATAAGATCATTTGCTAAACTGGGCAATCTCGTCTTAGAACAGTTCATCTTAAGTTTTTATGGTGATTACATACCTATTTATGTTAAAATTCCTCCCCGTTTTGGGCACAAATAGTGTCATCTGAGTATAAAAAATCTTATTCTTTCTGTTCATTATTGATTCATTCAACAAATAGTCATTAAGCTTAAGGGTATATTAGTGAACAATCCAGATGTAATCCTTGACTCACAGAGTTGACACTGCAGTGGGACAATGTGGGGGATAGACTAAAATATCTAATTCAAAAGCAATTTTATGATATTAAAATAGAAGATAAAGAGAGTGGTCAAAATGAAGCTGAATGGGGACAATATGTATTTCTCTTTTGTCTTTGACTAGGTAAGTCAAGAGATCATTTTACAAAACAAACCACCAATTCTTGTAGTGGTACCGTGGTGAAGACTCAGTCACTTTCACAGCTTTGGGTTTATGCTGTCCTCATTTGGCTTAGCTCATAATCAGTTATTTTTCAGAGAGCTTAAGGCTGAGGAGAAAAAAGGTGTCAAAGAAACTAATATTGACCCCACAAATATTTCTTCATAAGATGATACAAGGGGTAATAATTATCTATGTCTAAAGTTCCTCTGCTGTTTCTGTCAAATCTTTTTTTTTCTTTTTTTGAGATGGAGTTTCACTCTTGTTGCTCTGGCTGTAGTGCAATGGCGTGATCTAGGCTCACTGCTACCTCTGCCTCCCAGGTCAAGTGATTCTCCTGCCTCGGTCTCCCGAGTAGCTGGGATCACAGGTGTCCACCATCATGCTCAGCTAATTTTTTGTATTTTTAGTAGAGACAGGGTTTCACCATATTGGCCAGGCTGGTCTCGAACTCCTGACCTCAGGTGATCTACATGCCTCCACCTCCCAAAGTGCTGGGATTACAGTCATGAGCCACTGCAGCTGGCAAGAATTTGTTTTTAACTTTAAAGTTTTAATTTTATTTATTTTTTTAACTTTTAGGTTCAGGGGTACATGTGTAGGTTTGTTCTATAGCCAAACACATGTCACAGGGGTTTGTTGTACAGATTATTTTGTCACCCAGGTACTAAGCCTAGTAGTCAATAGTTTTTCTGATTCTCTCCCTCTTCCCACTCTCCACCCTCAAGTAGGCCCCAGTGTCCGCTGTTCTCCTTTTTGTATCCATGCATTCTCATCATTTAGCTCCCACTTCAATGAGAACGTGGTATTTGGTTTTCTTTTCCTGTGTTAGTTTGCTAAGAATAATAGCCTCTAGTTCCATCCGTATTCCTGCAAAAGACATGATCTCATTCTTTTCATGACTGAATAGTATTCCATGGTGTATATGGACCACATTTGCGTTATCCAATCTGTCAAGATGGGCATTTAGGTTGATTCCATGTCTTTGCTATTGTGAATAGTGCTTCAGTGAACATTCATGTGTGTGTCTTTTATTTTATTTTATTTTAAAGAGACAGGGTCTTGCTATGTTGCCCAGTCTGGAGTGCAGTGGCTATTCACAGGTAGCATCCCACTACTAATCAGCACAGGAATTTTGACCTGCTCCATTTCCGACCTGGGCCGGTTCACCCCTCCTTAGGCAACCTGGTAGTCCCCAGCATCTGGGAGGTCACCATATTGATGCTGAACTTAGTGCAGACACCCCATCAGCATAGCACACTACAGCCCAGAACTCCTGGACTCAAGAGATCCTCCAGCCTCAGCCTCCCAAGTAGCTGGGACTACAGGCATGCTGCATTGTGCCTGGCATGTGCATGTCTTTATAGTACAATGATTTACATTCCTTTGAGCATGTACTGTCATGGGATTGCTGGGTCGAATGGTAGTTCTGTTTTTAGCTCTTTGAGGAATTGCCACACTACTCTCCACAATGGTTGAACTAATTTACACTCCTAGCAACTGTATATAAGCATCCCCTTTTCTCTGCAACCTTGCCAGCATGTTATTTTTTGACTTTTTGATAACACCATTCTGCCAGTTGTGAGATGGTGATTTGATAGCATTTCTCTAATGATCAGTGATATTGAGCTTTTTTTCATATGCTTGTTGGCTGCATGTATTACTTCTTTTGAAGTTCATGTCCTTTGCCCATTTTTAATGTTTTTTTCTTGTAAATTTGATAAACTTTTCATTTTAAAATAGTTTTAAATTTGCAGAGAAGTTGCAAGGATGGTACAGAGCTCCTATATACCTCTTACCCACTTTTTCTTTTTAATTTTTATTTTGTTAATTTTTATTTATTTATTTATTTTTGAGGCAGGGTCTTGCTCTTTCACTCAGGCTGGAGTGCAGTGGTGCAATCACGGCTCACTGCAGCCTCATCCTCCTGGGCTCAATTGATCCTCCTACCTCAGCTTCCTGAATAGCTGGAACTATAGGTGTGAACCACCACTCCCAGATAATTTTTGTATTCTTTGTAGAGTCAAGATTGCACCCTATTGCTCAATCCAGTCTCAAACTTCTGGGCTCAAGTGATCTGGCCCGAGTCAGCTTCCCAAAGGGCTGGGATTACAGGCATGAGCCACAGCGCCTGGCCTGAAACCAATACAATATTAACAAACTTCATATTTTATTCAGATTTCAGTATTTTTTCCCTAAGATCCTTTTTGTTATTATTGTTCCAGGATCTCATTCAGAATCCCATGTTACACTGTTTTCATGTCTTCTTAGGCTCCTGTGGGTTGTGACGGTGTCTAAGACCATGTTTTTGATGACCTTGACCATTTTGAGTATTGGTGAGGTATACTGCAAAATGCCCCTCAATTTGGGTTTGCCTGATTGTTAGACTGGTATTATAGGCTTTTGAGATGAAGACCACAGAGGTAAAGTATTATACTCAACACGTCATATCAAAGGCACACGTCATCAACGTGACTTACCATTAATGGTGTTTAACTTTGGCTAAGGTAGTGTTTGCCAATTTTCTCCATCATACAGTTGCTTTAGACTTTCTTTCTATATTATATCCTTTGGAAGGAAGTCACTAAGCACAACCCATACGTGAGAATGGGGAGTTATCTTCTACCTTCTTAAGGAGGGAATATCTACATAAATAATTTAGAATTCTTTGTATGGAGGCTTCCCCCACTTTCTCTCTCCCTCCCTTCCTTCTTTCCTTCCTTTCATCATTTATTTATATCAGTATGGATTTATAAACATTTATTTATACTTTGGTTTATAACCCAACACTACATTATTGATTTGTTCAAATCTTCCAGCTTTGGCCACTGGGAGCTCAATAAGACGCTCCAGACTCACAGTTTTTTGCCCCAGCCTTAGAAAGCCATTTCTCCAAGGAGCTCAGGCTCATTTTTATTGGAGAATTATATTAGAAACCAAAGTCTGCATATTGGGTTTATCTATAGAATTTTGATCTGAAAGTACCAGGCCAGTTTCTGGATGTCAGTGTCTGCTACTGTTTCTCAGAGAGTATCCTTGACATTCTCCTTGAAAAGCAACTAAATATAAGCAATAAAGAAAAATGGTTGCTAATGAAACTAATGTAAGTTAAGGTTGTGTTGGCAGAATGCGTGTAAAAATGAGAGGGACTACATTGTTCCTGCTCACCTGGAAAATCTTTGTTCTGTTTGGTCACAGTTTAGAGGAATATTAATGAACTGTAGCACATCAGATGGAACTGACCAGATTCATAAATTCTAGAAACTATATTACCTGAATGATGAAGAAATTGGATATTTGACCTGAAAAAACTTAAGGTGGATAACATACTTGTGTGTAAAATATACTTTATTTTTTATTCTAAGGATGCCAGAATGGATGAACATTATTCAGTTAATTATTCACTGATCTTTTTTCACCCAATGTAAGTAAGCACTGTCTGACAATTCGTTTAACCATGCTGGAATGAGCTCCCCCATGTGGTAAAAATCTCATTACTGAGATTGTTGAAGTGACTTTTATCTGTGCTCACTGAATTTCATCACTTTTATTCTTTTGATTTTCTTTTCATTCAGTTTAGTAGTAAAAGTTTCAGTTTGAAAGCTTGAAATTTTGTCTTATCTGACTAATGTAAGAAACTATACCATCCTCCTCTCAGCCAGGCAGGATAGGAGAGACATCACATCCCCTAGGGCTCAGGTGTGGTGTGAGAGTACAGGATGTGATGAGAGACAGAGACTTAGAATTAGTGACATTGTGAGAAAGATTCACTTACTCACTCACTCACTCACTCCTCACTCACTGTGTGGTGGCTGGAATTATAATATGCAAACTTGGGAGAATCTGTCTACCAAGTGCAAGTGTCTGTATTAAGCAACATTACTGCCCTCCATTAGCTTACATTTACTTGTCTGTTAAATCGCTGATAGATAATAATCTGCCCTGTTTTACCCTTCTTCTTCCTAATGGGTAAAATCTACATCGAAGGGGAAAGGTCCACAGGCATCACAAATTCTAGGTTAGAGTCAGTCCTAATCAATCTGAGATATTTAATTGTACTACATAGAAAAATGATACTGGGGCAGGTAATACTATTTCCACACCTTGGTTATATTCATGTAGTAGTATTTATACCTCACCATTTTGGAGAAAATCTATCATGTTATGTACATTTAGACTAACATGTTGTCTATGTTGAACATTACTTGTATAGTGTTTTTCTGGCTGAATCTTCCCTTTGAACTCAGTATATTGAGCTACATTTTGAGAGCTCAAGGGAAAGGCTGCCAGGAGCTGAGGCCACAATCACATTATCTAATCATTTACTGAGATATTGAGCACAATAATTAAGGAGATATGGTCTCTACCTTGTTCTTAGAGAGCCTATAGTTTACAAAATGGAGCAAAGATTCATTGTTGTTAGCCATGGATACTTCACATCAAATCTGGGTATTCTGAAGTGTACCTAAGATGTATCTGGTGCTTTTTTTTATGGGCATCTCATTGTTGTATGCTCCTGCCCATGCTTAGGGTTTCCTGTGAAGGAAAGAAACAAATTATGCCTTCTAATATCTTGTTGAGGGTGGTAGACTAGAGAAAGGGATTCAGGAGAGAACAAAGCTCACTGATAAGCTGATACATGTTATCTACTCCTATGGGGCACAAGGGGATGGGTGTCTGGGCCAGGGTGAGAGGCCACCACAATAGCTGCAATCTCTACTCTCAATGAAGATGTTACCGTCTTTACAGACAGGATAATGGAAAATCCCTAGAGGAATGTAGGCAGAGAGGAGGAAGGAAGGAGTGGGGGAGGAACAAGAGGAGGAGGAGGGAGTGGGGGGGGTGGGGAGGAGGAGGAGGAGGAGGAGGAGGAGGAAAGAAGAGGGAGAAAAATGTGGGCCCAATGAGGTGATAAGACTGCTCTTATCTAACAATGAAAGTAGAACCTGTTTGATTTCCCAAGTCTGTATTCAATGGCATCATGTTGGTAGCTTGAGATCAGTAATAGCGGCAGTATTTACACCATGTGAATTGGTGAGAATGTGATGTAAATCAGTGCTTTTCCCTCCTGGAGAGGCAGCTGTTATACATTTGCCAGTACACTGCTGAGTGTGTCCCATGGGCCCAGAATCCAGACTTAAATTCCAGTTTATTTTCCTGTCTGAGAAACATATCCTTGTCTCTCTGATCCCTGGATAAGAAGCCAACTTTGTGGCTTTCTGGCTGGAGGAGGGGTGTGAAGGAAATGAAGGCAGGAGAGGGAAACTTCATAGCAGCATCCAGAGACACATGTTTCCTATATGTCCAGCATAAAAGCATTTATCTCCAATTCTTTGACAAGATACCTCTACTACCAAAGGAGGGAAAACACTTCCCCCATTGTACAATTCTCTTCCCCATTAAAGAAGAGAAGGAGCATTAGAGTTTGCTTTGCATATTTATATATTAAGAGTAAAACAAGCTGTATTTTTCTCATGATAAACATTTGCTCTTATAGCAAAGAAAACATAATTTTATTTTGATCAACATACTTGTTGCAGAGGTATTGTTTTTCTTGCTGCCCAATATTCATATATACTGACTTCTGATAATAGTACCCTGATTCCCCACTCTATCCATATGTTTTGGATGGGGTTGGCCTGCTTCTGGCTCCAGGAATAGGCAGTACTCAGGCTTGGTCCAGGTTATGGTGAATGGCTCAGGAGGAGGCATGTGGTCAATCAGGGGTCCTGAGATGCATAGGCAGTTGCAGAAACCACTGATATGCAGGCATGAACTTAAGAGAATGTAAGCCAAGAGCTGCTAGAGAAGGAAAAAGAACCTACTCATATAGTTTTAGTCCCTAGATTTAGCAATGTCTGTAGTCTAAATTACTCCTAGATTTGATAGATACAGAGCCTGTAAGAAATTTTTTTTTTCTGGCTTAAACGAGTTAGAATAGTTCACTTGCAACCAACAGAGTCCTAACTGCTGTGCTATGCTTTACGACTTCACTTAATAAAGTTGGTAGCCTTTCCAAAGAAACTGATGACAACTCTTCTGACATTACATGTTGATGTTTTCCATTAAAATAAGTTATATGTCCTTTACTTTTTATAGTATTTTACTAAAATATTTATACTAAAATATTTATTCTAAAATATTTGCTTTATGTATATATATATATATATATAAAGATATCAACTAAAAACATTATAAGCTGATTTTATTTCAAAAAGTCTCTAGAGTATATTATGTAGGAATACTCTTTTTTGGTGCTTCCTCAATTTTAACTGCTTTCACCCTCTGCAAGGCTCCTCCTCGAATGGGCAGTTTTTTAAGAGCAATATCCGTATCAGCCAGAGGTCCTCCTACTAATCGGGCAGGAGTGCTTTCCACTGTTACTACCCCACCAGAGGGCACCTAAAAAGGCAAAAGGTAAATATCTAAAAGTCCATTTACACAATTTTCAGTAAGAGAAAAACTCATTCATCTTTCAACTTACTTTGGAAAAGACACAAAATGTACATTTGAGTAACTAGGAGACAGTTATGGTATAATAGAAAGATAAGGGCATCAGAGCCAGGAAAAGTGGGTTTGAATTCTACTTCTATTGCTTATCACCTTTGTAACTGGGGGCAAATTAAGTCTAGCAGAGGATGCCAGGAACACTTTGAGTCTACTTGCCAGGAAAAGGAAGCCTTGTGACTTTTCTATCAGATATAAGGACAGTTATACACTGACTAGTGTTAGCGTATTCTTAGAAATCTTGGAGGAAACCAGAACTAGACAAGACTGGATATACCCTGGAGATAAATATGGCTTAGTGATGTGAAATTTGAACAGCAAAAAAAATGATGTGAAATTTGAACAGCAAAAGAAAAAAATGTGAGATAAAAATCCCATAAAAATAATATTTTGAGGATCTAAGTATTTTTTATTAATTTTTTAACTTCTAATTTTAAGTTTTAAATGTTTACATTTTTGAACAGTTTTATTGAGATAAAATTAAATATCACATAATCCACTCATTTAAAGTGTAAAATTCAATGGTTTTCAGTATATTTGCACTATTGTACAAACACCCTAAATTTAATGTCTATTAAGAAAGTGTTATGGAGAAAAAGAATCTTACCGTTGTGTTAAGGCCTTTAATATCTGTTGGGTGAAATATTGCATGTTGTGGTCGTTCATGGTATCTAGAGGCTTTAATAGCCTTTTCTTGAAGCCTTTTTGCTTTCTGAGAATTTTTAAATTAGAAAGAAAATAATATTAATTGCTATTAAATCAGTAATGATGGTACTTACAATGAAAACATATTTAATTGTGTCTGGCTTATGCTTTGGCTGTTTATTAGATAGCTCTGAAATCTGCATTTACTCATGGAGATAAAAAAAGACAGTTATTAGTAAGTTAGATAATTTGCACACTGAAGAAAGCTCCAGTCACCTAAAAGTGTTCCAGAGATTTCCAAAAGTACTGGTCATATATGACCAAGGAGTCAAGCAGGTCCTAAGGAAATCAGGTTCATTTTTTAGCACACAATTTAATAAGCTATTAAATTTATATCAGGTGATGCATGTTGCAAAATATGTTGCATAAATTACCAACTGATTAGGTATACTTAAATGTTGTAAGCATTCAGAATAATATAAATTATATAATTCACTGCAGTTATATTCAAGCTATTTGAAATTATTTTCAAGTTATTTGAGACATTAAACAAGTGAAATGTGAAGTAACAATCTGCAGGAAAGGGGCTGATTTTCATTAACTAGTGCTAAAAATACAGGCAGTTATGAAGACATTTTATAAGCAGAGTTGGGAAGAACTTTCAGTGAAAAGGGAGAATATCTTGGTACCTTGAGTGAGCCTGTCCTTAACTTTGGTTTTACTATCTTAATATGGTTCCACTGTCTTTGTGGACTAACTTAACGTTTAGCAATTTGATATCTACAGGAAGAATTGGAGCATTAGGTAAAGTGTATCCAAAGTATCAGAAATGAAGGAGAGATTTTTTTTTTAAAGTATCTCCAAGATATTAATGGAAAAGGGTGAGGAAAAGTAATGAAATTCTGGAAATCCATGGTATTTCTCACATATTTCAAGTGAACAATTAGGACTATAAATGTTTTAGAATAGTTTCTAGCTTACAGCTAAAGTAGCTTATCACATTTTTTTTTAACAAAGGATATTTATCCCAATTCTTATTTAAGTTTTAACATAATGCCTCTTTTGCTGATTACAGAGGGAAAACTCTTGGGGGAGAGAGTAATACAGGATAGTTGCTCTTTCAGTCCTTTACTTTGCCTCTCACAGAAAAGAAGTCAATGAATAAGCAGGTTCAGAATGGAAAGCAGAACACATTTCCTGCTGATTCCCGGCTGTCATCTTTTCTTTATGTAGGCCAAGAACATCACCCTTGCTTCTCCATGATAAGCCAAATGAAACTCAAAGCAGCTTCTTCTGTAACTGTGAAATGCAGTTTCAGTTACCACTCTAAATTGCATATGAGCATCTAATAGTGTTGGTATTGTATGGAAAAGTCACTAGAAAAAAAATGAATGAACATTCCTACCTGAAAAAGTCTGTCTGTTAGAGTTGGCTATTTGTTGTGGATACTATAATACGTGAAAAATCCTACCTTTAATGTTTTAGCATTTGATGTTCTAGCCAAGAAATTTCCCCATGATTTATTAGCCAGCTCTCTTTGCTTGTGTGTGGCTTGTATCTGAAATGAGAAAGATAACTAAGTTTCAGTTTCTTTTTTTTCTTTGAGACAGAATCTTGCTCTGTCACCCAGGTTGGAGTACAATGGCAAGTCTCAAGTATAATGGCAAGTCTCTCTGCCTTTTAAAAATTTAAGACTGTAGAAATAAAATTATAATGCAAGAAAATAGCATTGAATATAGTAACTGAATCTCAAACGCCATAGTTTCTTTTAAAACTTTACAGGGACACTGAAAATAACGCTAAGAGAAAACTACAAAATAAGGCTGAAACACTCATAAGTAAGCAAATATATCTTATAGATAACTTCATCTGGGTTTGTACATTGAAATTAATATCTTGTGCATTAATGGTACCTGTGGCTTACTTTTTATTGATACATAATAGTTGTACATATTTATGGCATACATGTGATATTTTAATGTGTGCATACAATGTGTAATAATCAGGGTAACTGGGATATCTGTCCCCTCAAACATTTATCATTCCTTTGTGTTAGGAACATTCCAAGTCTTCTAAATATTTTGAAGTACACAATAAATTTTTGTTACTATAGTTGCCCTACTGTGCTATTGAACAACAGAACTTATTCTTTCTAACTGTATTTTTGTACCCGTTAACCAACCTATCTTCATTTTCCCTCCTCACTACCTATGTAGCTTACTTTTGCATATACTTTTTGTTCATTTTGCACATCTTGGCATGCTTGGCTTTCAATTATCTCACTTTGCAGAGAAGCAACCATCTTTCCAATATTTTCTGATGCTGTTGTAATAGCTTCCAAAGCTTTTTTATCTGTAGTGACTGGTCTTAATTTTTCTAATTTTATTTCTTCATATATTTCATTCCATATTTCTCCAATCTGTTACAACAGAGTTTAACAAAGTTAAATTAACCAAAAATAAATGATACAAACTGTACAATTATATAATTTTTTATGTGGTTAGTCACTCCTGTTAACACCTAAACTTTTCATAAATTACTTTTTGGGAATAAATCAAGTGCATTGGGAATGATTTAGGACACCAGCTACATTTGAGTACTCAGCAGGAATTTATCAAATGTTTTCAATGGTATGTTATTCATGGATAAGGCTCTCCTATGCCTAGATCACTGCCCTCTAGTTTATAGTTACCTTGATTTCACAGCTGCAGGAACTGCTCATTTATTCTCATCTTTTTGAATACTGCTACTGCTACTTTCCTCCCTAAAGCCCTGTATTGAAGGCTAGGTCAAGATGAACTTGTAGAAGAATGAACATGGAGGTTACTAGGACCCTAGAACCCAGCTACCCTGAGAAATGGGGCTCTGGCCTTCAATCTAGCTAAGGCAAATTATAATGGAATCTCAAGATTTTAACTCCATGGTTCCATTATGCCAGTGGCTCCATCTCATATTCCAGGTTATCTAGAAATTAATGTTCTTGAGTATATTTAGAATTAGAGAAAAAAGATAGCAGAGTTGTACAGCAGAAGCATTCTGTACAGCAGAAGCAGACCCATAAAATTAAAGAAAAAAATTATATATCTCTGATAAGGATAAAATTCATCTTTGGATGAATGAAGTAGGTAGATTCACTCGAGCCTAGGAGTTTGAGGCCAGCCTGAGTAACACAGTGAGACCTTGTCTCTACAAAATAAAACAAAAAAACAACAAAAAAGGAAGCTGGGTATGGTGGTACACACTAGTAGTCCCAGCTACTTGGGAGGTTGAGGCTGGAGGATCACTTGAGCCTGGGAGGTCGAGGCTTCAGTGAGCTGTGATCACGCAACTGCACTTTAGCCTAGGTGACCGAACAAGACTCTGCCTCAAAAAAAAAAGAAGATAAAGGTTTACTCATTTACAACATTCAAATACACAGTACTAATATTAGTAGAAGAAGAACATTAACTTATAAAAACTTTCTTGAAACTTCAAAAGTATTTATTTGCTGACAAAAATATAACTAGCAAAATAAGCAACATACTATTTTTAAATCAAGATTGGGTCATAATATAAAGCAATGATAAAATAATACTTTAAGTATTAATAATTTATTTTAGTAAGTAATAAGTTATTTAATTCCAACTCCTAATGCTCTCCAAAGAGAAAAAACTATATATTTAAAATTTTGTAATTTTAGTAGAGATGGGGTTTCACCATGTTGGACAGGCTGGTCTTGAACCCTTGACCTTGGGTGATCTACCTGCTTTGGCCTCCCAACAAGGTGCTGGGATTACAGGCGTGAGAATACAAAAATTAGCTGGGCCTGGTGGCAGTCACCTGTAATCTTAGGTACTCAGGAAGCTGAGACAGGAGAATAATTTGAGGCAGAGGCTGCAATGAGCCAAGATTGTGCCATTGCACTCCAGCCCGGGCAACAAGAGCAAAAACTCTTCTTAAAAACAGAACAAAACAATATAAAAACAAAAAACAAAAACATCTGTTAGGCTTCAGAATAGTTTCTTATCAGTTTTGTATCAGTTCTTTCATAAACTAAGTTAGATGAAATCTTATCCCACGAAAACACCCAATCATGGGATGGGTGTATGATGTATTTCTTCAACAGTATAAGTTACAAAACAAGAAATAAAAACTATACAGTATGTAGACGACTGCTTACAATCATGAATAGATCTTTTATTTTCCAGTTAATTTTTGGCTGTCTAGATTTTAATGACCAGGTTATTAAAAAGATACTTACTTTAAAATCAAGATATCTATGTATAATACAGAGGGTGACAAAATCTTCAGCAGATAGACCAGGTAAATTTTCAAAATCTAAAGTTTACAAAGACAGAATTACTTTAGCAAAGCAAGTGATTCTAAGAAATATATATCTATCTTTAAACAAATGCAAAATTACTTTTGATTTCATCTTGATTTATACAAAAGTTAATTTTGTGAGTAGTTTGTGAGTAGGCTTCCTTCTATAACAAATTTCTGCCAGCTCATATATATAGTCATTAGAATAGGAATCATTTCATTCTGTGTTGGGGTCAGACAATAATATCTTACTTCAGAAGCTTCAGTGTTTGATAACTTTTTCCTTAACAGAAAGCAAATACTTAAAAAAAAAAAAACTCAAGTGAAGTGACTCAGAATGTTAGTATTTTAAGCTTAACCATCTAAACTAACTGTCCTTAATTCTATCTGCACAATGGAATTGCCTGGAGAGCTTTAAAAAATACTATTGCCTGGATCTCACACACACAGATTCTGATTTAATTGGTGAGGGGTGCAGTGTAGGAAGTGGGGTAACAATAGAAAACGCATTTCTCTGTATAAAGAGACTTTTGCTCATTATATTTGAAAAACTGACTCCAAAGCAAAATAATTGTGTCTACTTAGCAAAACAGATAGAATCTTGTGAATCTGTAGAGAAACTTCTTACCTAGTTTGCCCAATATAGCATAAATTTTTGCTCTAATATTCTCAGAAACATCCATAACTGCAATAGATGGGCAGTTAGCAGGCAGTGGGATGATTTTTTGCTCTTCTTGAAAGCTAGTAAATAGAGGTTTCTTTGTATCTAATCATTGGATAGCATGAAAACAGAAAAGGGACAGATAAAAACCATAGTAAACAAATACTTAATTTTGAGATTTCAGTCTAGATAACATAAAATGTATAAGATTATAGCAGCAAAATAGTACCTATTACATGGTTACACTTTTGAAATAATAATTAAGCAGCTACTACTTCCCTACTCTGTGGGAAAACTTAAAGCTTTCATTTATATTGTTTATGTAAAATATTAAAATTTAACAAAATTATTTTTTAAAAGTAAAACTTCTTTGTAAATAACTTAAAACATTTTGAAATCCAGAAGTTGAGTAATGTCTGTTTAACAGTAATGTAACCTTCTTTACTTTTGGTTTCTATATATTATGCTATAAATATAAAAACCATTTTATGATGGTTTAGTTCAAAATTCAGAAATAATAAAAATAGACTGAAAATAGAAGTAATCAGAAGGGGAAGTATTTTCATTGAAAAATAAACAATACTTAAAGGAACATATCTAAAAATAATGAGAGCCATCGATGACAAATCCACAGCCAACATCATATTGAATGGAGTAAAGTTGGAAGTATTTCCTTTGTAAACTGGCACAAGACAAGCATGAGCTCTTTTACCACATAGTACTGGAAATCCTGGCCAGAGCAAACAAGCAACAGAAAGAAAAAAAGGGCATCCAAATAGGAAGAGAGGAAGTCAAACTATCCCTGTTTGTAGACAACATGGTTCTATATCTAGAAAACTCCATGGTCTCACCCCAAAAGCTCCGTTAGCTGATAAACAACTTTAGCAAAGTTTCAGGACACTAAATCAATGTATAAAAGTCACTAGCATTCTTATACACCAACAACAGTCAAGCCAACAACAAAATCAGAAATAATTCCATTCACAATTACCTCAAAAAGAATAAAATATCTAGGAATACAGCTAACCAGGGAGCTGAAAGATCTCTACATTAAGAATTACAAAACACTACTTAAAGAAATCAGAGATGACACAAACAAATGGAAAAACATCCCATGCTCATGGATAGGAAGAATCAATATCATTAAAATGGTTATACTGCCCAAAGCAATTTACAGATTCAATACTATTCCTATAAAGCTATTAATAACAATATTGACATAAATAGAGAAAACTATTTTAAAATTCACATGGAACCAAAAAGAGCCCCAATAGCCAAGGAAATCCTAAACACAAAGAGCAAAGCTAGAGGAATCATGTTACCTAACTTCAAGCTATACTATCAGACCATAGTAACCAAAACAGCATAGTACTGGTACAAAAACAGACACAGTCAAATTGAACAGACTAGAGAGCCCAGAAATAAGGCTACACATCTGCAACTATTTTATCTTCAACAAGTCTAACAGAAATAAGCAATGAGGAAAGAACTACACATTTAATATATGGTGCTGGGATAAGTGGCTAGTCACATGCAGAAAAATGAAACTGAACCTCTTCCTTATATCATATACAAAAATCAACTCAAGATGGATTAAAGACTTAAATGTAAAACCCAAAACTGCAATAATCCTAGAAGGCAATCTAGGCAACACTTACCTGGACTTAGGAATGGGAAAGATTTCATGACAAAGATGCCAAAAGCAATCTCGACAAAAGCAAAAATTGACAAATGGGATCTAATTAAACTTAAGATCTTCTGCACAGCAAATGAAACTATCAACAGAATGAAAAGACAACCTACAGAATGGAGAAAATTTTTGCCAACTATGCATCTGATAAAGGTCTAATATCCAGCATCTATAAAGAACTTAAACACATTTAAAAGAAAAAAAAAGGCAGGGCGAGGTGACTCAGGCCTGTAATCCTAGCACTTTGGGAGGCCGAGGCGGGTGGATCACGGGGTCAAGAGATCAGGACCATCTGGTCAACATGGTGAAACCCCGTCTCTACTGAAAATACCAAAAAAAAAAAAAAAAAAAAAAAAAAATTAGCTGGGCATGGTGGCGCGTGCCTGTAATCCCAGCTACTCAGGAGGCTGTGGCAGGAGAATTGCCTGAGCCCAGGAGGCAGAGATTGCGGTGAGCCGAGATTGCGTCATTGCACTCCAGCCTGGGTAACAAGAGCGAAATTCCGTCTCAAAAAAAAAAAAAAAAAGAAAAAAAAAAAACTCAAACAGCTTCATTAAAAAGTTGGCAAAGGACATGAATGATACTTTTCAAGAAGTCATAAATGTAGCCAACAAGCATATGAAAAAAGCTCAGTATTACTGATTATTAGAAAAATACAAATAGAAATCACAACGAAACAGCATCTCACACCAGTCAGAATGGCTGTTATTAAAAAGTCAAAAAATAACAGATGCTGGCAAGTTTGTGGAGAAAATGGGATGCTTATACACTGTGATTGGGAGTGCAGATTAGTTCAACCCTTGCGGAAAGCAATGTGGCATTTCCTCAAAGAGCTAAAAACAGAACTATCATTTGACCTAGCAATCCATTGCTGGGAGTATACTCAGAGTAATATATAATACAAATCATTCTTGACAGAGGAAGTTAAACTATCTCTGTTTGCAGACGACATGATTCTATATCTAGAAAACACCATAGTCTCAGCCTAAACACTCCTTTAGCTGATAAACAACTTTAGCAACGTTTTAGTTATTAGAGAAATGCAAATTGAAATCACAATGAAAACACATGCACATGAACGTTCACTGCAGCGCTATTCATAATAGCAAAGACATGGAATCAATCTAAATGTCCATCATGACAGACTGGATAAAGAAAATATAGCATATATACACCATGGAATATTATGCAGCCATAAAACAATGAGATCATGTCTTTTGCAGGAACATGGATGAAGCTGGAGGCCATTATCCTTAGTAAACTAACACAGGAACAGAAAAACCAAATCCCACATGTTCTGACTTATAAGTGCAATCTAAATGATGAGAATTCATGGGCACAAAGAAAGGAACAACAGGTATGTGGTTTCAGAGTGGAAAGTGGGAGGAGGGAGAGGATCAGAAAACTATTGGGTACTAGGCTTAGTACCTGAGTGACAAAATAATCTGTACAACAAACCTCTATGACATGAGTTTACCCATATAATAAACCAGCACGTGTACCCCTGAACCTAAAATAAAAGTTAAAAAGAAAATGTTAACCATTTAGATGAAACCATAAGAATCTTAAAAGGCTTAGAAAATGTAGGTGGAGTGTGGTGGCTCATGCCTGTAATACCAGTAGTTTGGGAGGCAGAGGTGAGCAGATCACTTGATGTCAGGAGTTTGAGACTAGCTTGGCCAACATGGTGAACCCCGTCTCTACTAAAAAAATACAAAAATTAGCTGGGTGTGGTGGCACACACCTGTAGTCCCAGCTACTTGGGAGGCTGAGGCAGGAGAATTGTTTGAACCCGGAGGCAGAGGTTGCAGTGAGCAAAATCATGCTACTGCATGCCAGCCTGGGTGACAGAGTTAGACTCCATCTAAAAAAAAAAGAAAAAGAAAATATAACACACTGACCAGGTGTGGTGGCTCATGCCTGTAATCCCTCTTTGGGAGGCTGAGGTGATTGGATTGCTTGAGCCTAGGAATTTGAGACTAGCCTGGGCAACATGGTGAAACCTCATCTCTACAAAAAATACAAAAATTAGCTGAGTGTGGTGGCAGATGCCTATTGTCCCAGCTACTTGGGAGGGTAAGGCAGGAAAATCGCTTGAGCCTGGGAGGCAGAGGTTTCAGTGAGCTGAGATTGCACCATTGCACTCCAGTCTGGGTGACTTAAGGGAACCCCTGTCTCAAAAAAAAAAAAGAAAATATAATTTAGCAGTATGGAATATGTAAACAAACTAAAAATTATAATACTGTAAGTCTCATTAATTTAGAATCTAGTAATTAAAATTTTTGAACATTTGGATTATTTATGAAACAGTATCTTCTTTCATATAAAAAGCAAATTCTATAAATATTAATCAGATCATGTCACCTAATGGATTTAAAAAAAAGGAAGAAAGGAATAAACATTAATTAACAGAAATGTTTAAAGTGCTAAAATATTATTTTCAGGCAATCTATTTACATCTCAAAATTTTATTGGTAAATGAAATACTACTGAATCTATATGTAAAAGCAGACACCCCAAAGAAACATCTTTAGGAACTGCTGTTAATTTTTTAGTTAAAGAATATAAACAAATGCCATTTCTTAAAAATATTTTCTAAAAATATTAACCTACTACTAATTTACTTAATTTTCTTCCAATCACTTATGATAGCAAGTTTTTCAAACCCTTGTAAAAAAAAGAACTTTAGACAAAGGGTGAAAGTCCTGATGCTTTCCTAATGCCATTTAAATATATTTTTAAAAAATACATCTGATTGATTCTACTAACAATTATAAATATACTCACCAATGATCTTCCCATTTTTATCACGTTTTACTCCTAGTTCTTTTTCCTCCTTTCTCCACAATTTAATTAAAAGACTGGCAGCTGTCTGATCCTTCTTCCCTCGCCAAGCATTGACATGAGCTGCAGTTTTGGGATTATCACAAAATTCAACCATTATTCCAAGTATTAGATTACAGAATTTTTTTTCGTTCAACTTTAGCAAGGAAACAGAAAAGGAAAAAGTTGCAATAAATATTAAAAAGTATTGCCCACAAAAAAAAAAAAAAAGAGAGAGAAACACTTGCATTACCATTAAGTTTCTTCTAAATTCAGAGTCAGGACAATCTCCTGTTAAAATGGATAACCCATTGCAATGAGTACATTTTCAAACATTAGAAATTTAAAAAAACAAAAAGATTTAATATAATTCTGAAGTTATTATAAACATACATCATGACCAAAATGTGACTGATGTGGTTGAGTTGGAAAAAGGAAATTTGCAAAAATAAGTGAAGATGTTCATGTTAAATGGTGAAGCTCAGTAGTGCTATACAGAGTTTACTGTAATTACAAGGATCTTTCCAATCTATATGCTTTATTAAGGCTTGTAAAGATTCATGCTAACTGTCTTCTCTTTGTTATTAAGAGAATAACTGATGGTAACTGCAAGTGACAGTCATATATGAAAATAAAATAAAATAAGATATAATTTGGTTTTGTGGCTATCATAATCCATAAAAGAGTATTTAAGTATTCAAAAAAATTCTCCTATTATCAAGCATATTTCCTTTATTTTGCTACAAGTAGTTTTCAGCAGGCTAAAATTTAGGTATAGAAAATTCCATTCAGAGCAATGGCTTCCATAATCTAATTCTTCTATGTGAAATATTTTTGTTTTTCAAAAAGTGTACTGCTATTTTAATATAGCAAAGGAAATGTGTAAGCTTTTGTTTCAGTTGCAAACATTATCAGTTTCTAATAAAATGAAGGTTAATAATATTACCTGCAAAGGGTTATTATGAATTATATGAGACTGCCTGACACATAGTAAGCTCTCATTAATATTTAACCACTATTAGCAGTTATCATTACATACTTTATATTTCAGCAGAATTGTATTAAGCAAAACACTCAAGGAAACAAGTTTTTTTTATTTCTGTATTTCACTTTCAGGAGACAGGCAAACGTGAAAGATTGAAGTTGATATAAAAATTTCATTAAATAATATTTGTAATTTGCTACTAATTTGGTTGAATTAGCATTAAACACAATCTATTAGTAATATTCATAATAACAGCTAACAGGAATATTTTGTTAGTTACTATTTAATCCATAATATATATGTATGCATGCACACTTACATGCATGCACACACACATACACTCATTTAGTCCTTCCAACAATACAGTAAGATATATAATGTTGTTATCTCTGTTTTACAGATAGAAAAATCAAAAAGAGAGAAATGAACTAAATTTCAGGGAGGTTAAGGGGCATAAATAATTTTAGCTCCTTTGCTAAATCAAAGTAGGTTTGTTATTCTGTTAACAAAATCAAGAATGGTGGCAATCACAGAATCACAGACAGTGATCTGGCTAGAACTCTGTGTGAGACTCTCTCTCAAAGTTTTACTGAAACAAAACTGTATGTTTCCTCCCATATCATCTTGAGTGTGGACTCCAGTTAGAATTGAGGCTAGTAAAGATTATATTCTTCACAACTGCTAGATGGCAACTGTCTCTACTGGAAGGCCTAGCTTGCTCATACCTGCTAATTCTGCAAAACAATGGTCCATGACACACTAGACTTCTTCTCATTACCTCCAAATAATACGTAGTTCTTTAAAAATGCTTATCTTTGTTCCTTGTCTAATGTGGCCCTTATCTTTTAATACCAAGGGAAGAAACTAAAAGTTATTAATAAATAACTATGGGTTTTGATATGGTCAAACTCTTCACGAACTGTTTCTTAGCAGGTTGATGGAGTACAAAGACAAAACAAATTCTTTGTTCCCGAGTATTTGAAAACATTGAGAAAACACTGGTAACGTGATTTTTCAACTGGAGGAATTCTCAGAGTCTTTAATACAGTGTGTATTATGAATCTCTAGGGGCGATTTTGTTTAAGACAGTACCTTTGAACATGATTTGGGGCATATTTATTCATAGAATAGTGCTCTACGGTACTCAATTTGGAAAAGGTCTTCATTAATCGTATTTTTCTTTTGTCTTACAATTGTTATAGCCATACTTACTGCCAGCACATCCAAAAGGAGAAAAATGCCTTCCTTTTCAAGAAAGTAATCCTCTGAGGGATAACATCCTAAAATACAGCACCTTAAATTAAAAGGAAGTTATTCATTTGATGAACATTTATTGTTAAACTCAATTTGTACAGCTTTATTTTTATGAAAGCATTTCCAAAGAATATGTTTTCTTCATTTCCTTAAATCAGTAGCTAATGTTTTACCAAAAAAAAAAAAAAATTGAACTTTGAAGAAACTTTACCAGTGTTGCTTAATTTTAATGTTTTTTTAAAAAGTATCAATTATTTTTCATAACTGCCTGTTTCTTTCCTACAAATGAAACATTCTCCTTTGCTTTCATAATATTAATTATTATTAGTGATCTTCTCTGATTGGTTTAGAAACTTTTTTTCAAGGTATATTCATTTATTGTTGCTGTAAACTGAAAATAAATCCCCAACCAACTAAATGGACCCTTCTCTTGGCCAAGGCATTCCAAAGTCAACTTGAAAAACTAGTTCAGGCCATGATGGGAAGGAGGGTTTGGACATGCCTCATTATACCTTCCTTCCTTTGGAATTTAGGTACAACTGATCGGTATTAATATTAAAACAGAGATCTTAAGAATGAAAAAACAGACCCTTCACAGCAATGAGATACCAAATTCTAACCTGACTCCAGTATAGCACCATATGACAGTAGGCTCTGAAAGAAATCGAAGTATTTTACCCAAAATATATTCCTTTGACTTACTTTAAAATGGCCCTGCACAGCTCTCTCTTCTGGGGAAATTATATAGTCTGCAGAGAATCCCCTGCCTTGTCCAAGTATTTTCCTGATCCAGGACAGATTTAACTAAATCAGGCACATTTTCTGTTTACCAACTATTCTATATAATAAGTAATTTGGTCTCAACAATCAATCATTTTAACCCAGATACTCTTTCCTATTGATCCCAGGCTTTTAAATAATAACACCCTTTTCAACAGATGGCAATTAGGAAATTTTTGAATCCATCTCTGACCTGTAAACTCCAACTTTTAGTTCCTTCCTTTCTGAACCAAACCAAAGCATACCTTATGTGTACTGAATGATGTCTTGTATCTCCATACAATGAATAAAACCAAGCTATAGCCCAACTACCTGGGGCACATGTTCTCAGGACCTCTTAAAACTGTGCCTTAGGCTGGGCATGGTGGCTCACACCTGTAATGTCAGCACTTGGGAGGCTGAGGGGGGCAGATCACCTGAGGTCAGGAGTTTGAGATCAGCCTGGCTAACATGGTGAAATGACATCTCTACTAAACATACAAGAATCAGCCAGGCATGGTGGTGGATGGCCATATTCACAGTTACTCAGGAGGCTGAGGCAGAAGAATTGCTTGAACCTAGGAGGCGGAGGTTGCAATGAGCCAAGATCATGCTACTGCACACCATTCTGGGTGACAGAATGAGACTCCATCTCAAAAAACAAAACAAAACAAAGCAAAGCAAAAACAAAAAGCTGTGCCTCAGGCCTTGACCAGTCATACTGGGTTCAGAATGAAATTCTGTAAAAGATTTACAGGCCTTGTCGACATTGCTGTTTCAAGATGTTGGTGCACTTCAAATATGGGATAATTATTGATTATATCTCATCTTTGCAGTTAAGATTATTTTATTAGAAGTGTTTGAATGAGAACAGCTCCATCTTGAATAGGGGCTGGGTAAAATAAGGCTGAGACCTATTGGACTGCATTCCCAGATGGTTAAGGCACTCTAAGTCACAGGATGAGACAGGAGGTCAGCATGAGATACAGGTTATCGAGACCTTGCAGATAAAACAGGTTGCAGTGAAGAAGCTGGCTAAAACCCATCAAAACCAAGATGCTGATAAAAGTGACCTTTGGTCGTCCTCACTGCTACACTCCCACCAGCACAATGATGGTTTACAAATGCCATAGCAACCCAGACAACTGGGTTTTCTGGTCCTTAGGCCATAAGTCTCAGACTGGAAGGATACCATCAGTACTCCTGGGTACTCTGCTTGCTGATGGTAGTTCTTGGGACTTTTCAGCCTTCATAATTGTGTGAGCCAATCCCTTATAATAAATCTCAATCTATCTTTCTCTCTCTCTCTGTTTTTTCCTACTGGTTCTGTCTCTCTAGGGAAACTTGACTAATATAATATCTAAATGCAAGGGGTCAGCAAAAGCTAAGACAATCTTAAGGGGGAAGGAAAAAGTAGGAAGACTTACTCTACCAGATGTCTAGGCTTATTAAAAAGACCTAGTTATTAAAATAGCACAATATTACAGAAGGATAGACAAAAGACCAGTAGAGCAGTGTAGGAAGCCTAGAATAGATCCAAATACATATGGACACTTGATTTGTACAAAGAAGGTACTGCAAAGCAGTGGGTAAAGAATGGTTTATCCAAAAACAGCACTGGATTACATCCATACAAAAAAAAGTAAAACTTGTACCTCACCTCACACCATACCTACAAATCAATTCCAGGTAGATTGTAGGCCTAAATGTAAAGGGCAAAACAATAAAGCTTCTAGAAGAAACACAGGCAGTAATCCTCATGATTATGGGGTTACTGCTTAAACAGGGCACTAAAAGTACTGATCTTAAAAAAACAGACTGGTAAATTAGACCACACTGAAATTAAGACTAGTTCAACAAAAAGAGAGTGAAGAGAGTGAAAATGTAAATCTCAGGGTAGCAGAATATATTTGACAAACATGTAACAGAAAAAGGCTCATGTCGACTATATATAAAGAACTCAATAAAAAATAATAGGTAATTAGAAATGCAAGAGACTTGAGCAGGGATTTCGCAAAAACGAGGCTATTCAAATGGCAAATGAACTTGTTAGTAATCAGGAACGTGTAAATTAAACCTACAAAGACACTGGCACAAGTCCACAAGAATGGCTGGAATGAAAGATACAATGCAGTGTATTGGTAAGGGTGTGGAACAAGGTGAAATCTCCACACCACTGGGAAAGGTGTAATTGATATAAGTACTTTGGAAAATTTTTTGGTATCATGTCTTAAAGCTGCACAGACATAAAAATGCCCCAATCTAGGCATTTTTACATCTAGGTGTATACTGGACAGAAATATGCAAGTGTAATAAAATATATGCACACAAATATTTTTTCACAAGCCTAGGCTAATTTGTATTTGTATCTTAGTTTTTAACAAATAGAAATTCCATTTGACCCAGCAATCCCATTACTGGGTATATATCCAAAGGATTATAAATTGTTCTACTATAAGGACACATGCACACGAACGTTCATTGCAGCACAGTTTACAATAGCAAAGACCTGGAACCAACCCAAATGCCCATCGATGATAGACTGGACTGGGAAAATGTGGCACATATACACCATGGAATATTATGCAGCCATCAAAAATGATGAGTTTGTGTCCTTTGTAGGGACATGGATGAACCTGGAAACCATCATTCTCAGCAAACTGACACAAGAGCAGAAAATCAAACACCGCATGTTCTCACTCATAGGTGGGTGTTGAACAATGAGAACACAGGACACAGGGAGGGGAGTACTACACACTGGGGTCTGTTGGGGGAAATAGGGGAGGGACAGCGGGGGGTGGGGAGTTGAGGAGAGATAGCATGGGGAGAAATGCCAGATATAGGTGATGGGGAGGAAGGTAGCAAATCACACTGCCACATGTGTACCTATGCAACAATCTTGCATGTTCTTCAGATGTACCCCCAAACCTAAAATGCAATAAAAAAAATAAAAATAAACTATCAATATTGAAAAAAAAACAAATAAAAACAATTTTGTTTTAAAGAAGAAACTTATAGAATAAGGATATAAAGAAAGAAAATATTTTTGTATGGCTATACAATGTGTTTGTATTTTTATTTGGCGGGGACTGAGTCTCACTCTGTTGCAAGGCTGGAGGGCAGTGGCGTGATCTTGGTTCACTGCAACCTCTGCCTCCCAGGTTCAAGTGATTCTCCTGCCTCAGGCTCCCAAGTTGCTGGGACTACAGGCATGCACCACCATGCCCAGCTAATTTTTTTGTTGTTGTTGTTTGTTTTTTGAGACAGAGTCTTGCTCTGTTGCCAGGCTGGAGTGCAGTGGCGCAATCTTGGCTCACTGCAACTTCCACCTCCTGGGTTCAAGGGATTCTTCCACCTCAGCCTCCTGAGTAGCTGGAACCACAGGCATGTGCCATCACACCCAGATAATTTTTTTTTTGTATTTTTAGTAGAGATGGGGTCTCACCATGTTGCCAGGATGGTCTCGATCTCTTGACCTTGTGATACACCTGCCTCAGCCTCCCAAAGTTTTGGGATTACAGGCATGAGCCACTGTGCCCCGACAATGTGTTTGTGTTTTAGGCTAAATGTTATTACAAAAGAGCCAAAAACTTAGAGAAAATTAAAACATTTATAAAGTAAAAAATATTACAGTAAGCTGATTACTATATTATTGAGAAAAGAAAAATATTTTAAAAATACTTTTAGTGGCCGGGCATGGTGGCTCAAGCCTGTAATCCCAGCACTTTGGGAGGCTGAGGCGGGTGGATCACGAGGTCAGGAGATCGAGACCATCCCGGTCAACTTGGTGAAACCCCGTCTCTACTAAAAATACAAAAAATTAGCTGGGCATGGCGCGTGCCTGTAATCCCAGCTACTCAGGAGGCTGAGGCAGGAGAATTGCCTGAACCCAGGAGGCGGAGGCTGCGGTGAGCCGAGATTGCGCCATTGCACTCCAGCCTGGGTAACAAGAGCAAAACTCTGTCTCAAAAAAAAAAAAAATATATATATATATATACACACGTTTAGTGTAATCTAAGTGTAAAGTGTTGATAAAGTCTACAGTAATGTATAATAAGGTCCTAGGCCTTCACATTCATTCACTCACTGACTCACTCATAGCAACTTCTGATACTGGAAGTTCTATTCATAAGTGCCCTCTACAGGTGTACTATTTTTTAAAATCTTTTATTCTGTAGTCTTACTGTACCTTTTAAAATGTTTAGATATGTTTAGATATACAAATACCACTGTGTTACAATTGCCACAGTGTTCAGTATAGTAACATGACACAGTTTGTAGCCTTTAGGCTACAGCATCTAGCTTAAGTGTGTAGTAGACTGTATCGTCTAGGTTTGTGTAACTACACCCTATGATGTTTGCATAAGACAAAATTGTCTAAGGACACATTTTTCAGAATGTATCCCCACTGTTATAAAGTGATGCATGACTGCTGTGAGTCTACCTTATTTGATTACAGTAATACTCACCAAATGCTGTCCAATGTACTAAAAAGAAGTACATTATAGCCTAGGCCACTCTGTAACTTCCTGGGATCTGTTTTCATCACATGAAGAACTATATCTACTCCTTCAGTTCCAAAAATTTCCTGTTTAAGATATTTGTTTTAAATTATTTCTTGAAATAAATAATTCCTTCATTTCCTACTTTATCTGTCCCCTAAAATTGTTTTTCTACCAGAGAAATACAGCAACATTGTTAGAAAAATACTGCTTTTACTACAGTTTAAGAAACTGTACTTACTTGTTCTCAGGAATTTAAAACAAATTATTATAAAACTAACCATTTTAAGAGGGAATATCAATCAATATGCGAGCTTAATAATATCACTTTAGATTTTTTGATTTATTCCCTTTCTCCTAAAGTGATAAAATTTGCAATTGTGTTTTCTTCAACATTATAATGAAGCATTATGCCAGATCAATTATTATATGGTAATAACTATCATGATTTTTTAATGACCCCAAGAGAGAAATAAGATCCAAATGTAGTTAAAACCTTTCATAATTTATGTGAAGTTTTAACCACTTAATAGTTTTCTCTAATTACCTTTCTCATTGCCTTGTTGTTCAGATCTGGTTCCCAGTAAGCAAGATCATGATTATTTTTCCAGAGGAGCCCAGGCACAGGGCAGTAGAATATGAGGAGAAATTTGATGCATCAAAGCTTGGAGCTAAGCAAGCATTCACTTAAAATCTATCTACTGAAACCATCATTTTTTTTTTATCCTTCCAATTCCGTCCCTTGCTATTTAATATTTAAATTATCAATCTCTGAGACTCAGAGTTCACTATGGAGCTAAAAAAGATAAAAGGGGATTAAGATCTCATTCTAACTTTTGGCTTTAGGTTTGAACCCAATTCAAACCCCAAACAACACTTAAAATGGTACAGCCCACTTTGTAAAACTGTTTGGCAGTTTCTTATAAAGATAAAGATACACCTACATCAATTCCCCACTCGTAGGTACTTACCCAAGAGAAATGAAAGTATTATGTACTAGCATGAGACTAGTACAAGAATGTTCACTGAAGCTTTATTCACTATAGCCATAAATAAAAGAACCCAAGTGCCTACCTATTAATAGGGGAACAGATATACAAATTTTGGTATACTCATACAATGGAATACTATTTAGCAATAAAAAGAAATGAATTATTGGTATATAGAATGACATGGATATATTTCTTTTTTCTTTTCTTTTCTTTGTTTTTTTTTTTTGAGACAGAGTCTCACTCTGTCACCCTGGCTGGAGTATAATGGTGCAATCTGGGCTCACTGCAACCTCCACCTCCTGGGTTCAAGCGATTCTCATGCCTCAGCCTCCAGAGTAACTAGGATTACAGGTGTGCGCCACCATGCCCAGCTAATTTTTGTATTTTTAATAGAGACAAGGTTTCGCCATGTTGGGCAGGCTGGTCTTGAACTTCTGATCTCAGGTGATCCACCCGTCTCAACCTCTCACAGTGCTGAAATTACAAGCATGAGCCACCATGCCTGGCCGACATCGATGTATTTCTAAAATATGATGCTGGATGACACAATCCAGACATAAAGCAATAAATATTGTGTGATTGCATTCATATAAACTTAAAGAATAGGCAAAACCAACCTATAGGAATAGAAAACAGAATAGTGGTTTGTCTGGGGGTGAGTGGGGAGATGACTTCTAAGGGGATGAGGAAATTTTATATAGGGAAATATTCTCTGTTTTAACTGGGGTGTTAGTGAAATGGGTGTATACCATTGTATATCCTGTACCTTTTACTTTATATAATTATACTCTAATTATCAACAAAAATATTAAATTTTCACAAAACTAAATACGATTATAGATAGTTACAAAAATAGTTTATAGTGTTAGGTGACTAGGATCCCTGAACAAAGTTAACAGGCATACATACCTTCCTTTGAATATGATGCTCGCAAAGACCAGATAGGATAAGTAATATATCAGACTGGATTTCCAAAACAATGGCTTCTTCCTTTTCATTAGTCTTGCTTATAATATTTTTAAAGATTCCTGGTATGAAAACATTTAAAGGATGTATAGTTATTAGATACGATTTTTTATTTTGATCAATTACTGCTTGGAAATCTCTTCTAAAAAGTTTATTTGGCTAGAGAAACTTTTATTTTATTTATTTACTTATTTTTATTTGTTATAAAGAGACAGGGTCTCATTATGTTGCCCAGGCTGGTCTTGAACTCCTCAGCTCAAGTAATCCTCCTGTCTGGGCCTCGCAAAGTGTTGGGATTACAGGTGTGAGCCATCATGCCCAGCCTAGAGAAACTCTGAGAAGAGGACATTTTCATTGCATAGTAACCTAGAGGCTGTGAAAAGATGATAAATGAATTCCTGGAGTTTTCAATACAATCAGTAGCCCTACCTACAAATATAGAATTTCTCGACATAATCCGTAGCCTCACATAAACAGAAATTCTAGTACAGAATTAATAGTGTGTCATTAAAGGAGGCCCCAGTAACGTGACCTTTTGCTCAGCAAACTATGTTTAAAAATATGCAGAGTTTCATGAGGTAGGAAATGAGTGCCTTTGCAAATATATGAATGAAGAAGTTTCCTGACTGTAGTTTGCCTAATTTATTCCTCTCCTCATGGTTAACAGGGTCAAGTCTAAGCAGAGGCGGCAGATCTTTTTAAGTGTGTTTTCTATTCCTGTTACTATTTTCTGCATCTTTCCTTGATGTCTAACTGAAGGTGTTTTAAACAACTTTAGGTAACAGTATTCCTTGTCCTTTAAAATCCCTCTTTTTCTTCCAATCGAAATTGAACGGGACTGAAGAGGGGCCGCTAACACTGATGAAATTATATTCATGATACAATTTTGCCTCAAAAGGAATTTTTTTAAGCTTTAAATAAAGAACAAAAGTCACCTTTTCTCTGCTAAAGGGGTCACTGGCATTAGCAGAAAAGTATGGAGCTATGTTCCAAAGTAAAACGGACATGGAAATCCTAGCCTATCTCTATAACTGTCCCTGAGGGACTATTCTGGGTCCCAGTAGGATGAATTACAGGTGTGGGATCAGACCCTAAGGGAGGCTAGTTGAGCCAGCTGGAGGCCCAGTGCTGGGGTATGCCATGGATAGAGGGGCCTATTTCCATTTATCAGGAACATCTTCTAGGAATCCAATCTGATTGGCCATAGGTCTGCTTCTTCTTTCTAGACTATCTCATTCTCCTTTCTAACTGAATGCAGGCAGTAACATTCCCTGCTGTCTGTAACATAGTATAATGCTCCGTATTTAAGTACCCTTCAACTCCTTGCCTTTACTGTCTTCTTGTTCTAGATCATTCTATTTCTCCCAGATTCTTCTTCCTAAAATACAACATTGTACATACAACGTCACTAATCAAAACCCCTTGTGGCTCTCCATGCCTTAAGAGGATGAAGTTTGAACTGTCGTCAGTCACTCAAAACTCATTCCAGCTTGGCCTCTGGCTATACAATTAACCTATCTTATGTCATTTGTCTTCATAAAACTTTGGCTCCTCTTAAACTAGCTCTGAACACATCGCCATGCATATTTCAGGACCATGTCTCCCTGTTCATGCTATTTCCCTGCTTGAGCGCTATGTCTGTTTTTCTACCTCTTTACAGTACCTTTACCTCACAGAATCCTGACTTCCTAGCCTTAAAGCTACCCAAGCCTCTTAGTTTCTGTCACATTATTCTGTACTACTCATTAAATGTCTAATTGAGGACATGTAGGGTAACACATGCTATCTTTCTATGATATACATAGTTTCTATTTTCTCATTAAGGAAAATGTCCTCAGTGTCCTACATTATACATGTTTGTAACCCCAGTGTCTACAGAAAAAGTATATAAACATTTTTGTTTTATTTCAATAGATTTTGTGGAACAGGTGGTTTTTGGTCACATAGATAAGTTCTTTATTGGTTATTTCTGAGATTTTGGTGCACCTATCACCCAAGCAGTATACACTATACCCAGAAAGTGTATAAACATTTACATTTAAAATCTAGTTACTACTTATTGAGCACATTACTACTACAAAGCCCTGTTAGACTCAGTTAGACAAGGTCCCTACCTCCAAGAACTTAACATAAAGATCAGCTTATTTGCAGTTAAGGGGAAAAGGTTCTAAGACAAGAAGAACCATGGCTATTTGTTTTCCCTTTTCCCTACCCTAGTCCCTAGTGCAGGTAGGATTAAGACTTCTTCCTAGACATATGAAAGATTGTATTTCCTGGATTTCCTCTAGTTAGACTGAGTTTTATGCAACAGAATGTGCACAGGAATGATAAAATGTACTTTCAGATTTGTTCATCCCAAACAAACTGGGCAAAAGGGTAAACATTTTCACCCAGCTCCCTTTTCAATATACTTTGATTTCCTGCTATTTTCTATATTACTATTATTAGAGAGCACCACCCCACTCCACTAATGATGAAAGAGTAAGCATCTTAATTTAACAAGTAGAAGAGTTTTTGAGTAGGCATTTATAATTAACATTAACATCTACCAGATTATATAATTGACTAGTGAGATAATCACTGCATATGAATGACTGAAATAACTCTTTTCAAAGTCAAGGAAAGGTATGATCTAGATAACTTTTTTAAATAACAAAAGGTAAAGAAGCTATTGTTTGTGGGTCCTAAATTTTACACTGAGTTTATGTGTACTTATTTTAGGGGATATGGTGATTTAGCATACTCAAGTATAAGCTGAAAGTCAAGGATATTCTGATATTTCATATCAGAAAAGAAACTCCTCTGTACATTTCTGTAAATGCCAATGTACCAGTGTTCTGTTATGACACATGCATTGGAAATGCCATGTTATCCTGTTTTAAAATAGTTCCAAAAGGCTTGGCCAAAAGTGGTGACCTGGCTGGACGCAGTGGCTCATGCCTGTAATCCTAGCATTATGGGAGGCAGAGGCAGGAAGATCACAAGGTCAGGAGATCAAGAACATCCTGGCTAATGCAGTGAAACCCCATCTCTACTAAAAAAATACAAAAAAATTAGCTGGGCATGGTGGTGTATGCCTGTAGTCCCAGCTACTTGGGAGGCTGAGGCAGGAGAATCACTTGAACCCAGGAGGTAGAAATTGCAGTAAGCCCAGATCACCCCACTGTACTCCAGCCTGGGTGATAGAGAGACTCTGTCTCAAAAAAAAAAAAAAAAAAAAAAAAAGTAGAATAGCCCATTTTAAAAAAGATAAAGATAATCTCAAATGAAATGGTATCAAGTTGAAGAAATAAATGTTTAAAAGGTTAGTGATTATGATACTTCAGTAAGAAGAAAAACTGATTTATAGCAACAATATGAAACAAATGAAACAAAAATCAAGAAAATATTGAGGAGTTTCTCAGTCATAAAGACAAAATAAATTTTAGAAGAACATTTCTAAGAAAACTACTGCTATTATAAATATTCCCCTTTCATCGATAAACCTCCATGTTATATTTTACCTATCATTTGCTGAATTGTTCCCTTTTCACAAAGATCTGTGTTTACAGTTTCATCTTCAAGGTAGACCATGGCTCTCAGGAGTCGTAAACTGTAGCGCATCTGGGCAAACTTGTTGCCTCGGCCACCTGTACCATGAAAACTGTTACCATGACTGAAAAACGAATCTGTGGAGAAAAATTGATAATTTAAAACAAAAACATTTCAAATAAGCAAAACAATATATCAGATATCTTATACATTTATCAAAAGTTTAAACAAATGTTAAATTTTTGTCATGTTTACTTTAGTTTTTTTAGAGAAGTAAAATATTATTCCTTTTCCCTCCTTCTATTCTTAGAATATGTTTTAGAATTTTACTGAAATGTATCATATATATCTTTTGCAACTTGCTTCTATTTATTACTCAAGCTTATGTTTGCTTTAAAAAATTATTCACATTGTCACAAGTAGATATAGATTATTCATTTTAATTGCTTTCAGCATTCATTTTTATAAATGAATTATAATTTATCCGTTCACTAGTATAAACTGTTACAATAAACATTCTGGTTCATGTCCTCTTCTATCCATTAAGAAGAGTTTTTCCATGTGACTAGAATCATATAGGATATATCCACATTGAATTTTACTAAAGGTGCTAAACTGTTTCCCAAGATATTTATATAGATACTATGTATAAGATGAATTAATTTTTCTTTTCTAAGAGACAGGATCTTGCTCTGTTGCCCAGGCTAGATTGCAGTGATGTGATCACGGCTCACTGTAGCCTCAGTCTCCCGGGCTCAAGTGATACTCCCACCTCAGCCTCCCAAGAAGCTAGGACTACAGGTATGTGCCACTGTGACCAGCTTTTTTTTTTTTTTTTTTTTAATTTTAAGAAATGGGGTCTTGCTATGTTGCCCAGAATGGTCTTGAACTTCTGGCCTCAAGTGATCCTCCTGCTTTGACCTCTCAAAGTTTTGGGATTACAGTTGTGAGCTACTGTACCTGGTCTTGATTTTCTCTGAAATCTGTTAAATTTGAAATGATAGTTCATTGTTATGTGAATTTGCATTTATTTGATTACCAATGGGACTGACAGTTTAAAAAATTTTTTTTGAAAATTTGGGGTTTTCTCTGTGATATGGCAGTCCCTGTCTTTGCCTACTTCTCTACTGAGTTTTTTTCTTGTTGATATGTAGGAGTTCTTTATAAACCTGGATCCTAATCTATTAACAGTCACAGGGGTAGTAAATGTCTTCTCTCAATTTGTAGATTAGTATTTCACTTAGATTTTGTCATACAGACATTTGTGTACATTTTATAGTACTTAAATGCATCAATCCTTTCTTGTACCTTAAACTTACGAGTCTTTAAAGAAACCTTTTCCTACCCTGATATCTAGCATAAAGATATTTCCCATGTTTCTTCTAACAGTTTCAACTGCATGACTTTTCGTGTTTACATCAACTTATTAATTTTGCAACTGATTTTTTAAAAAACAAAGTGAAAAGATCTAATTTTTATTTTTTCACATGGAAGACCAACTTCCCCAACAGCATCCTTCCCTCACTGATTGGCAATATCTTCTCTCATAACGCTAACCTTCGACATACTCCATGCCGTTGACTATCCATAACCCAGTACCACATAACTTTAACTACAATAGCCTTATGGTAGGTCTTGATAAGTATCAAGGCAAATCCTCCCTTCTTTATGCTATGATTTCTTTAAAACCTTCTTTTAGAAGTAGCTTTATGTTTCTAGTTTTTAAAAAAGTTGAAAATACTGTTCTGAGTATTGCATGTTGGTTAAAATTGTGGGTTCTATTATAGAACCTGAGTTAAATCTTTGCTCTGCCACTTGTGGCCAAGAATAAGTTATTTAACTTCTTAGACTGAGTTCTACCCATCTGATAAACAGGGATAATAATAATACCTATACCTCTTAGGTTTGTTGAGAGGACTAAGTGACTTAATACTTGGAAGGTGTGTAAGGCCTACCAGATAGTAGGTTCTGAATAACTATTAGCTATCAGTCCTCTTCTTATTAGCTAGCATTTCCCCTTTTGCCTTAAAGTCTTCTACAAACATAAATGATATAAAGGATATACTGACAAATTGCTTTATTTAGTGAAAAATAATTTTATAAGACTAAATTAAGTAGCTCAGCATATTGGAAACTAGAGAATAAAAAGGCTATCATTTTTTCCTCCTTCATGCATAAATGGGTGATGTTCTTGATCTAATGAAGAATTGTACAAAATTATTTCCAGAGCAAAATTACTACCAGAAAAGAAGCAATATCTTCCTTATAAAGCTTTTTAAAAATGAATGTATTTCTTTTTCCTTTCTAAAAACTGAAAGAAAATACAAACAAACTGGGTCTCTACTAATTTGGTAGACCACATTGGAGTCATTACTTCTGGCTAGAGATCTAGATTATTATTATTATTATTATTTTACTTTAGGTTCTGGGGTACATGTGCAGATTGTGCAGGATTGTTACATAGGTATACACATACCATGGTGGTTTGCTGCATCCATTCCCCAGTCATTTAAACCTATTAGGTATTTCTCCTAATGTTATCCCTCCCCAATACTCCCACCCTCTGCTATCCCTCCCCAATCCCCCCACCCTGCAACAGGCCCTGGTGTATGATGTTCCCCTCCCTTTGTCCATGTGTTCTCACTGTTCAACACCCACTTATGAGTGAGAATATGCAGTGTTTGGTTTTCTGTTCTTGTGTCAGTTTGCTGAGAATGATGGTTTCCAGCTTCGTCCATGTCTCTGCAAAGGTCATTAACTCATGCTTTTATATGACTGCATAGTATTCCGTGGTGTATATGTGCCACATTTTCTTTATCCAGTCTATTATCGATGGGCATTTGGATTGGTTCCAATCTTTGCTATTGTAAACAGTGCCACAAAACATATGTGTGCATGTGTCTTTATAATAGAATGATTTATAATCCTTCGGGTATATACTCAGTAATGGGATTGCTGGGTCAAATGGTATTTCTATTTCTAAATCCTTGAGGAATTGCCACACTGTCTTCCACAATCGTTGAACTGATTTACAATCCTACCAACAGTGTAAAAGTGTTCCTATTTCTCCACATCCTCTCTAGCATCTGTTGTCTCCTGATTTTTTAATGATCGCCATTCTAACAGGCATGAGATGGTATCTCAATGTGGTTTTGATTTGCATTTCTCTAATGACAGTGATAATGAGCATTTTTTCATGTTTGTTGGTTGCATAAATGTCTTCTTTTAAAAAGTGTCTGTTCATGTCCTTTGCCCACTCTTTGATGGGGTTGTTTTTTCTTGTAAATTTGTTTAAATTCTTTGTAGATTCTGGATATTAGTCCTTTGTCAGATGGGTAGATTGCAAATTTTTTTCCCCATTTTGTTGGTTGCCAGTTCACTCTAATGATAGTTTCTTTTACTGAGCTGGAACTCTTAAGTTTAATTAGATCCCATTTGTATATTTTAGCTTTTGTTGCCATTGATTTTGGTGTTTTAGTCATGAAGTCCTTGCCTATGTCCTGAATGGTTTTGCCTAGGTTTCTTCTAGGGTTTTTATGGTGTTAGGGCTTATGTTTAGACCTTTAATTTATCTGGAGTTAATTTTTGTATAAGGTGTAAGGAAGGGGTCCAGTTTCAGCTTTCTGCATATGGCTGGTCAGTTTTTCCCAACACCATTTATTAAACAGGGAATCCTTTCCCCATTGTGTGTTTTTGTCAGGTTTGTCAAAGATCAGATAGTTGTAGATGTTTGGCATTACTTCTGAGGGCCTCTCTTCTGTTCCATTGGTCTATATCTCTGTTTTGGTACCAGTACCATGCTGTTTGATTACTGTAGCCTTTAGTATAGTTTGAAGACATGTAGCATGATGCCTCCAGCTTTTTTTTTTTTTTTCCTTAATATTGTCTTGGCTATTTGGGCTCTTTTTTGGTTCCATCTGAAGTTTAAGGTGGTTTTCCCAGTTCTATGAAGGTCAATGGTAGCTTGACGGGGATGGCACTGAATCTATAGATTATTTTGGGCATTATGGCCATTTTCATGATATTGATTCTTCCTAATCATGAGCATGGAATGTTTTTCCATATGTTTGTGTCCTCTCTTATTTCCTTGAGCAGTGGTTTGTAGTTCTTCTTGAAGAGGGACTTCACAAACCCACAGCCAAGATCATACTGAATGGGCAAAAATTTAAGCATTCCCTTTGAAATATGGCACAAGACAAGGATGCCCTCTCTCACCACTCCTATTCAACATAGTATTGGAAGTTCTGGCCAAAGCAATTAGGCAAGAAAAAGAAATAAAGGGTATTGAATTAGGAAAAGAGGAAGTCAAATTGTCTCTATTTACAGATGACACGATTGTATATTTAAAAGACTTCATCGTCTCAGCCCAAAATCTCAAGCTGATAAGCAACTTCAGCAAAGTCTCAGGTTACAAAATCAATGTGCAAAAATCACAAGCATTCCTATACATGAATAACAGACAAACAGAGAGGCAAATCACGAGCAAACTCCCATTCACAATTTACGAAGAGAATAAAATACATAGAAATCTAGATTTTAAGCTCCATGGAGAGAAGGATGTTTATTTGTTTTAAGCCTAAATGTATTTTCAGTAGTTAAAACAGTATCTAGTACCCAATAGGCAGTCATAAATATTTGTTGAATGAAGGCATTATAATATTGCCAGGCTAGGCAGTATTGTAATTAATTTCAGGCTCACACCTGTAATCCCAACACTGTGAGAGGCCAAGGCAGGCAGATAGTTTCAGCCCAGTGGTTCAAGACTAGACACGGCAACATGGCAAAACCCTCTCTACAAAAAATACAAAAATTAGCTGGGCATGGTGGCATGCACTTGTAGTCCCAGTCACTGGGAAGGCTGAGGTGGGAGGATCACTAGAGCCCAAGAGTTTGAGGCTGCAATGAGCCATGAGCATACCACTGCACTCTAGCCTGGGCGACAGGGTGAGATCCTGTCTCAACCAACAAACAAACAAAGCAAATAAAATATTTCCAAGATTTTTCTTCCTAATTATAATTTTTAGATAGATCTAATGATACAAAAATTTAAATTACATGTATGATTTCTTTAAGTGTGCATCAAGTCCGACATTTACTAATGTCTGACTTCAAATAAAATCTGTATTTTTCTTAAAACAACATATAAATACACTAATAAGAAGGCAGGTCTACATGTTTTTACTTCTTGTAGCTTTAATTAACTTCATTGTTATTTCTATGCATATATTGACCATTCAGTTGAAATTCGAAGATGAGAATTTTGACAGGAATCTTGAAGAGCCACTCACCTTCAATCTCACACCATTCTAGAAATGCAAGGACTTGAGCATTTCCCTGGCATGACATGTATTCTTCTATTAATAAAGGAGCCACTGAAGACAAAGTGGCAATTGCATGCAGTTGTAATTCTTCATACTGTGCTGCAGACCAGTCAATTGTTCTTTGTTTCTCAGGCTTCTTAACATAGGTAAACAAAGCCAAAACAACACTGCCCTCAATTAATAGCTATGAGAAAGAACAAAGGACGCTTTGTTAGAAACATGGCTAAAACTACTTTATTTGATCTAAGGCAATAAAATTTTAAAAATTAAATTTTGATGTTTTATTGATGACTATTTCAAAATACTTCCCCGACCTATGATAGGTACCAAAAAAAACCAGAAAGATTTAATACCAGTTGGTTATGATTCTCTTTTCTGAGGCCTGTTATGCTCTGACAATAATATAAAATATGTGTTAATTTTTTGTCTTTGGTGCTCATATATGTAATTTAGTTACTCCTTATAATAAAACCATAGGAGTAGAATATTTGGGGGCAAATGCTGACATTTCTTTCCTCACTCTCTTTTTAAAAAGGAAATGTATCACAGATTCAGTTGTGTACCATAAAAAATAATTTTGTCTGACGTAATGACTACAGTGAATATTTAAACACATGCAACAGAACTTACATAAACATTCTACCAAATAAATGTCAGTTAGGTCACAAGCCATGTTTAATTATATGCCTAGTATTTTTAAATTTTATTGACTCCATCATTTTAATAAAAATGAGATAAAATGCACAGCTATTACAACAACAGAATTAATATAGCTGATTCTGATTGATGCATATTTATGATTCACAAGAGAAGAAAACATCATATGCTATATTATATTTGATTTTCTTTTAATTTGGCATTATTCTAAAAAGACTTTCCCAAAAACAATTTGTCTAATTCCCTACTAGTCCATGTGAAAAGAATGTGAGATCTAGATTTGAGAAAACGGGAATAATTACTAGTTCTAACATTATTGTTAGAATTAAGTATATAATGTTTCAAAAATATCCTGTGTTGCAAATGATAGTGTACAAATTCATTATCATTACTAGTAATATTACTGAAACACAAATTATGTGACACATAAAAATAGGTGATTTTGCTGCTCACAAAGTGTTTTAAGAAGCTCACCATAATCTGTGCTACTTGACTCTGTTGTTTATAAAATGTTGTTTAATCAATTAAAATTGATTTGTAAACTGTAGTGTAAATTTCATTATCTTTATAGCTCTAATTTTAATATTTATATAATACTCTATTAGAATAATAAACCATAATTTATGGAATAATTTTCCAAATGATTTTCCATTTGCATTTTGGAAAATACATTTAGGTTCTACACAGTATGTGTTTTTTGTCACAAATGATAAAGATATAACTATAAAGATAATTTTTCTTTTCCTGAGCATTTGAAAATATATATAAAAAATTCCTCAAAGTTGCATTACTAAGAAAATGCTGAGCTCAGTTAAATCCTCATAATAATCTCAAGGTAGGTGTTATCCCCATGTTGAAGTTGAGCTATCTGGGATTTAGAGAAATCAAATAACCCATTAAACACCACATAGCTAGAAAGTGGCAGCACAGATTCTGTCTGACTAAAGCCATTACTGCTAGAGTATCCCATCTTTATATTTTTGGTAGTGATGTTGATAGACTGAATTCTTATTTCGTTTTCATGGTAATCCTTGGAGCTTGGTAGAGTTTTAGGACTAAAAGGAAATTTCACTTAATGCAATAACTAAACTAACAGTATTGTTAATAATACATTTACTATCACTTTATAGTTTATAAAGCCTTCATCTCAACTTCACAATAGACCTGTGAGCAGAGCTGAAGCACTGTAATCTTTTCTTTACAGAAAGAGGAACTGAACCACAAATAGATGAGGTAATTTTGCCAAGACCACATAGCTAGTAGGTGATAAGCCAAAGTGAAATTCGGTTCCAGTGTTCTTCAAATTACATCATGTTGTTATGCAGAAAACAACGTATTAAAAAACAGATTCATAGAGGGTCAAAGTAATTAAAGACATTAGGTTTGTGTGATGAAAAAGCAGGTTCATAAGAGTTTGAGATTAGCATCACAGAGGTTAATAATTTTCTCCAGCATTAAATCAGTCCTTGTTACTATGGTCAGAGATAGACTGCTAGGCTGGATATGCCTATGTGGAGCTTCTTTCATTTTAGGCTTTTTAATTCAAGAGATCTAAACGTATTATTACATCTCTTAGGTTCTACTATTTTTCTTTGGTTTATATGGTTTAAATTTAGGTACTTAAATTTACTAACAGATAAGCAAGAAAAATTTTAAAAGCTAAAATTCAGGCCAGTAAGAGTTTACTTTCTATGGTAAATATATGAATTGATAAAAGTTTTACAGTCAGGACTTTAAAAAAGTTATACTACAAAGTGAGATAATTTTTATTCATTTTTCTGCCTTGGTTACTCTTTACCTGTATAGTAGGTAAATCTTTACATAAGATCACAATTATGTTGAATAGCAATTTCTTCAATTCAAAATCTTCATAGGAATTAGAAAGCTTAAGTCCTTTTACCAAAATATTTTGACTTTTAACTGTGAGGGAAAAAAACAGAAAATGAAAGCTTAAATGTTGTATAAGACTCATCAAGATAATCATAAGAAGTTTAAAGTTTTATGTTTTTTTACCTTCATTAAAGGTGGCAAACAGTATCAAATCCTTAGCAAAGCCACATTCCTAATATAAATACATAAAACAAGAATAAAGATGAATGTATAAGATGAAAGTTAAGATGCAGATGCTCGTATTTACTATTTAAGTACATTTATCAAATTTTCCTATTGTCATTCATTTGAATTCATAAAGCATGAATAGCAATAAGAGGTGAAGCAAAAAATAAAAATATAAAGCCAGATAAGCTTATTTAACATTAAATAACCCAGATTTGTTTCATTTTAAACTTCTGTAGGTTCTAAGAAATACTTTATATTATTCTATGAATAGTCTGTTTAAAATGTGTTAAGGATAAAAAATGTATTAGGTCTTCACAGTTACTTCTGTAGTTCATTATCTATACTTTAAATGACACAGTAAGGGAAGAAAATACAGTTATTCTCAACAGCTTTTCTTCTTAAACATCTCCACTTCTACCCCAACCATTCTTGTTACATCAAATGTTTGGTTAAGAGATAATAAAGTAGTTCCTACTTAGCATGAAAAGCCCTGAGGAATCACCAGAGTTGCAAACATTTTAGCATGTCAGCATTCCTGTCGGAGATATCCTAGTTGGACTTTGCATATTAGGGACAGTTTACAGGGGCAAACCGTAGGCTTATGAGCTTGTAGTTTTATATTCCTATTACTTTAGGATCTATATGATTTCTTCAGATGGTGACCATATTATTCACTTTGACTTAGATTCCTGAAATTCATCTGAATGTTTTCAAGAACACTAATGAGAAATTACTAACTGACCAGGGACTTCTAGAGAAACATAAAGGTCCACCTATGTTGCAACTTTAACTAGAATACTATGTAGGACTGTTTCCCTATTTGCACAGTATGAATTCCATAACTCTTATGTTGGGACTACTTTTTGTCCACTGTTAGTGGGCTGAGGTCTTCACAGCCATTTCTTTGTAGCACAACTATAACTTACATGCCTGACTTGTGAATACTGTTGCCAAGGATCTCTATTATACAATTTCAATCATTCAGTGATTTTTACATTATAAAATATGTAAAGGCTCAGCTTCTGGTACAGATGAGTAGTAGCTCCAAGAGAAATTCTCCTGCTAGTGACCAATACAACTATCTTATAACCAAGAGTAAGCAGACACTGGAAAGATGTCAGAATTTTGTAGAAGGTAATGGCATTACATGAGTTTCCCATTTGAAATAGGCTTTTGGCCTGAGAGCAGACCATATTCTATACCTTGTGGGAATGTTAAAACTCAGAGTAATCCTGTGGTCTTAGTGGCCTGAAGCCAGAGGACAGAGGCAACCACATCCACTGGAAAGTGAAGAGAAAGGAGAGAGCCAGAGAGAAGAATGCCAAAGTCTGTGTACAAACTCTTCCCAAATATTTGGCTAATGTCTGAACCACACAAGTGCAGAGAATACTCAAGCATCCCAGGCAAGAACTGAATTGAGATTTGGGCTGCCATACCAAAAGGGATGAGTACTGCCAAGTTAAATGTATAGTCATTAAAAAAAAGAATACTCTTCAGAAGAGTATACCAGAATCTATAGTAAAGATGAACATAATAAATAGAAAGATAAGAACTCTCAGAGGTGACACTATAAAAAGGAACCAAACTAAACTCTAAAACTGAAAAATATATCTGAAGCAAAAACGTACTGGATGGGATTAACAGCAGAATGGAGATGACAGAAATAAAAAGTCAGTGAATTCAAATGTATGGACTAATAAAAAGTATCCAATCTGAAGAATGGAGAGAAAAATGATTGAACAGTGAGCAGAGTCTCATGAACCAGTGGGACAATATAAAAAAGTCGAACATAAAAGTAATCAGAGCTGGGTGCAGTGGCCCACACCTATAATCCCAGCACTTTGGGAGGCCGAGGTTGGTGGATCACAAGGTCAGGAGTTCAAGACTAGCCTGGCCAACATAGTGAAACCCCATCTCTACTTTAAAAAAAAAAAAGAAGAATTCCAGAAGAAGCAGGGAGAGAGAATGGGGCTGAAAAAATATTTGAAGAAATAATGGCCAAGAGTTCTTCAAATCTTATTAAAGACTTAAATTTATATATCCAAGAAGCTGTTTGAAATCTAAACAGAACAAATACAAATCTCACCTTAGCACATCATTTCAAAACTGCTATAAACCATAGAGTGAAAATCTTGAAAACAATGAGAGAGAAAAATGATATACATAGGGAAACAATGATTTGAAATAATGAATGCTTCTCATCAGAGTCCAGGGTGCTCACCCTTACACCATGGAACCTCACACTGAATACTTCTCATCAGAAACAGCAGACTCCAGAAGATAGTAGAATTTTATCTTTAAAATGCTAAACAAAATTTTTTTCAGCCTAGAGTTTTATATTCAATGAGCATAGATTTTAAGGATTAAGATGAATTAAATATATTTTCAGATAAAAGAAAACCAAGATAATTTGTTGGCAGCAGCCAACAGATTTGCCCCACAAGAAATTGTAAAGAAAGTTCTTCCAGTGAAAGCAAATGATGCCAGATGGAAACTCGAATCATCAGGAAGGAAAGAAAAGCATCGTAAGTGGAAAACATGTGTATAAATCACACAATATGAAAAAGATTCCAAATGTCCAAAGGATTGCAAAGGAAAATTGGCAGAGTGATAAGCACACTGGTGACCACCGTGATATTATAGCATAATTTAGCATTACAACAAAATACACAGATATTACAACATAATATAGGACTTCACCCACACCCCCCACTTCCACAATTAAAATTAATGTAACTTGATTCGTACTTACAATCATTGGTGCTTCAGGATTTTGAGCTATAATTGTAGTGATCACTAATATGTCATTTCTAAGCTGACGGTCATAATGACTAAAACCTCTCATAAACAGATTTTTAAATACTTCCTTCAAAGCCCTAGAAAGTAAAATCATATTTGAAAAACTATATAGTTATGCACTAAATGTTTACATCCCTCCAAAATTCATATATTGAAATCTTAACCCCCCCATGTGATGGTTTTAGGAGGTGAGGACTTCGTGTGCTAATGAGCCCTCATGAATGGAATTAGTGCCCTTATAAAAGGGACTCAAGAAAGCTCTCTCGCTCTTTCCTCCATGCAAGGATAAGAGAAGTCAGCACTATGCAACCCAGAAGAGCACCCTCATCAGAACCCAACCACACTGGCACCCTGATCTCAGACTTCTAGCATCCCAAACTATGAAAAATAACTTTCTGCTATTTATAAACCACCCAGTTTATAGTAACTTGTTATAGCAGCCCAAACTAAAACACATACTTTTATGGAAATACTACCTAAATATCTATGAACAAAATCTCCCTTATTCATTTGAACATATTTCTAACCTTTTCTACAGTTCCAAATCTGCCTCTAATTCTCTATGTACCAGATAAGAATACACTAAACCAGACTATGATACATGGTAGTCAAAGTGACAGCTCTATAATACATTCAATCATGTCATTTTCCTTTGTAAAATCATTTGAAGACTACTCTTTGTTCTTAGAATAAAGTACTACCTCCTTAACAAGGCTTATTAGGCCTTTCATGTTGTGGTCCCCGATAACATTGTTAGCATCATCTCTCACCATTGTAGCATATTCCTCTGCTCTCATCACATTGAATTTTAGTTTTCTGATTTTGCTAATTGTATTTTCACTTGTCCCCCCTCTCTAGGATGCTCTCTGCATGCAAAACTTTTCTGTGTTGCCAAGTCCTATTTGTCATTCAGATACTAGATTTGAGTTCATTAGGAAGAAATTATTCATTCTCCAACTCTGAATTAGGTTCCCTTCGTAATAATATTAGGTATTTCTTGCTTTGCTTCCTGGGACCTACTTGCCCTTTTTTATAATAAGAGTATCCTTATTTTTTATTTAGTCATTTATTCCTTCCTGACTTTTGCTTCTGTGAGGCTGTCTTCAGCTACCTTTTCACCAAAGCGTTCTTTCTTTTGGCATTAACAAATCACTGTGGCCTGGGCATTTGACCAGTATTAGACCATTCAGGGCCAAATGGGACTCAATTCAAAGACTTATCTCTGAGCCTTCAGGATTGCAAGATTTATCTTCTGCTTGATTTGAGGTTGAGATAATGTGATCTTAGACTTCTTAAGTCTTACTACATAGGCTTGGGGGTGAAGCCAACACCATGGAAGACAATGTAGAGAGATGAGGGACCAAGTCTTAATATCTGCTGATCCCTGAATAAAGCTGCACATGAAACCAGTTTTATCCTTGACTTTCTAGGTAAATGAGCCATAAATATCCTATATTGCTTTGGTCAGTTGGGTTTTTAGTCACTTGCAAACAAAAATGCGCTGACCGACCTTCTTCTGAAGAACATGTAGCATCTTACAATAATCTCTTTCATAACATTTAGTATGTTCTCATTTAGTTGTCTGTTTACCTGTCCATCCCGTCTAGCACAATGTAATTCCATGAAAGCAGGGACAATATCTGTATTGTTTTCAGTTGTATTTCTATGGCTTAATACTGAAGCTGGCATAGAGCAGATAATCACTTGTTGAATAAGTGAAGAAGCCACCTGAAGGCTTACTCACATTTTGTTGCTAATGCTTACTGCAATATCTGGAAGATGGTAAGCACTCAATAATAGATTCACTGCATAAATAAATGAAATAGTTCTTCTGATGTCTAATTTTACTTTATGTATATATCAAGGTATAACTTAGTGTTAAGAAGCTACTTCAAGAGACTTCCACATAGAAAAGTGTGGCCTGTTTTTGTGCAGATTCATTTATACCAGGGCACAAAAAAAGCTGTCCTGAAATGTAGCCATTACTTGAATCTAAAATCTAATTGAACATGGATTCAAACAAAGATGTTAGTTATGTCACTGGCTATCATTTTAAGATTAAAAGAACATTCCTATCTAACCAGGTACACTTACAGCAAACATTCCAAGTTACTAAGCTGTGGTAGGATTTCTTCTTTTGAAGATTTTTCCAACAAGTTCCAAAGTATTTCTGATGAACGAAATAAAAGCTGCCCAGAGGGATCTGGGTCATTCAGGTGAGCACAGATTCCACTGGCTGCTTGTGCTTTCATCATTATACTACAATTAACTTCTGAAAATAAATTTTAAAAATTATTTGTGCTTTACAGTATTGACATTGTTAGATGGAAACAAAAGTAGTTGACAACGAAGTGTTTAAACTTAATAATATACAAACCAGAAGTTGAGAGATGCTGCAGAACTTTAAGTACCCAAAGTTTCTCAACAAGTTGGTTTTCAAGCAAGGTCACTGCCTGAACCATTGTTTTTGCTAATCCTCCAACTTCTGCCATTTGAATCTTGTATGATGAACATGCTTGCTGGTAACCTAACAACAATTAGTTAATAAATACAAATAGTTATTTCACAGAATGACCATTAAGACAAAAGAATGAATATTATTAAGCAACAGCAAGAACAACTTTTTTAAAGTGTATAGAATTTAAGAATTGTGTGGCATAGGAATGGGCTACATTTTTTCTGTAAAGGGCCAGACAGTAAGAATTTTAAGCTTTTCAGGTTATAAGGTTTCTTGTCAACTGCTCAACTCTGTGGCACATTGTAGAAAGAAAACAGCAATGAATAGTACAAATATAAATCGTACAAATAGTACAAAGCAGCAATATATAGTACAAATATAAGTGGGCATGGCTGTGTTCTAACAAAACTTTGTTTTCAGTGGGCCTAGTTTGACCTGGGGCCCAGAGTTTGCTGATCCCTGGGGTAGCATTTAAAATAGGACCATGAATTTTGGAAACACATCTTAAAATCTAAAAAAGAACAATATTTACTGTCAGTAGATACTTTTTATAATGGAAAATGATTTGATTACAAATACCGAATGTTTTCACTAGTCAATTTCACTATTCAGGTCCAATGTATTACTTCAGTACTTTCAAGGGACAACAATTATGTAGTGTCAGCATTAAATTAAGAGGTGAAAATGGAATGCTACTCTGATAATTGTGAATGAATTTAACGGTATTGTAGGGAAGTCTGATTCTTGGTGATACGTCTTATAAAAATTCCTTCTGTCTTAGCACCTGTGAGACATACTACCTCTCCTTTTGATGCAGGTATACAGGTTTTACCTAACTATATTCTACTAGAAGGATTAAATAAACACCAAAGGGTACTCATTTAACTGAGATGAGGCTTTATTTTTTCTCTTTGTGATCTTAGTTAATCAAGCTCCCTGACTGATTTTTGAGTTCAACTAGATTCCTTAACTTTGCCCTAGTTCTGAAGTATCTGTTAGTTTGTCTTATCTTTGTAAATATGATCTCTGGCTGTGGACATGGCCCTGTCTAATGCTGTGATGAGCTCTCTATGATATGCTGTAGCTACTCACTGCATGAATTTTAAAAAGCATTTAAAAAGTACAAAAAGGAAATTGCCTATATTTTCATCACTGAGAGATAACATTAACATTTTCATATATTTCTTGTGATATTTTAATGTATCATACAATTTTAACAACATACTAGTATACAGAATTTTATATTCTATACTCACTAAAACTTTTTATTGTTAGCTTTTCCCCATGCTATAAAATGTTTTTCTAAAATCATGATTTTTATTTGCATATCTATCATATGGATGGGCCAAAATATACTTTATACTTACTGTATCTTTTTCTATTGCAGGTACATTTTAATAGAAGGATATAATACTATTAAAGCTCATGGACTTAATTCATGTCTCCAGGGCTATGTCTCTTTCAACTGCTGTACCAAGGACTTTCAGCTGTGGTCCTAGATGTCTGGCCACACCCATCACTTGAAACCAACTGTGTGATAGTGAGAGTGCTGACTCCTAATTTTCAGAGCCTGACCAAATCAACCTCAATTCTTTGTATCATAATACTTCTCTGTCTTAAGTCATACACCACTTGTCTCCCGTTCTTTAAAGCGCATCTGTATTTTGCCAAAATTAACTCTAAGCTAGTGCTCTTAATTCCATCTTCTTGTGCTTTCTTTGAGAATTTTGCCTTCCCATTTCTTTCTTACCAGCTTCTAACTCCTTTGCCTACAAATGTCATTTCTTCCTAACCTAAAAACAAAACCCAAATAACCTTTCTCTGACTTTGCACTAGCTGAGCTGTTTTCCGTCTTCTTTCTTTTTCTTCACCATCTGATCTTAAGATATGTCTGCATTCATGAACTGCCATGACTCTCTCTCTTAAATCCAGTGCCTCTACTAGCATAATCCTCTTATTCTTTAATTCTGCATTTCCCCTGACCACTTTATATGAATAGATCTGTCAAAGATTAACTACAACCTTTCAGATGTCACATTAACTTGTCCTTTTAACTCTTCAATTACAGACGCCTCTGCAACACTGAGACCTTCCTCCTCCTTTATCAAACATTTCATTCATTGGCACACAAGACATGGCTATCTTTAGGTTTTCTTCCACCTCTTTGAACATCCCTTCATTGCCAATTTCTTTTAATCATTTTTTCCAAATCTCAACGTGGACACTCTCTATGATGTTGTTCTTGATGCCTTGCTGCTTATATATTTTATCTCTTGGCAAACTCAACCATTCTGGTGTCTTCAATTTTCAGCTCTAATGGGTGGATTCCAAACCTGTATTTCTGGCCCCTATTGCTTTTAGTATACACTATCTTTTTCTACCAAAACACTTCAACCCATCTATCTCATCAGTAGTTCAAAGTGGACATTCAATAATCTCTTTATTCATTTCTCTAGTTTAAATGTCTTTCCTTTTTTGTGTTTTACTTTTTGACTTCTGTTTTTCCTGAATTTCTTTTTTTAATTGCTCTTTTTTTTTTTTGGAGATGGGGTCTCAATCTGTAGCCCGGGCTGGAGTGTGGTGGCACGATCTTGGCTCACTGAAACCTCTGCCTCCTGGGTCCCAGTTCAAGCAATTCTCCTGCCTCAGCCTCCTGGGTAGCTGGGATTATAGGCATGTGCCACCATGCCCAGCTAATTTTTGTATTTTTAGTAGAGATGGGGTTTCACCATGTGGGCCAGACTGGTCTTGAACTCCTGACCTTGTGATCCACCCGCCTCAGCCTCCCAAAGTACAGGGATTAGAGGCGTGAGCCACCGTGCCTGATCACTATCTTTTTTTAAACTGACTTCTGGTTTCCATTTTTCCCTAGTCCTAAATAAACTTTCCTTTGAACTACCACAGACTCATATTTTAACCTATATTAAGAAACATATAACTTAGGAAATTATTGTATAAACAATCTTCTCTTCCTTCCTAGATTAGAAATTACAGAAACTATGAAGGTAAGAAGTATGTCTTAACATTATATCCTCACAGTGCACGTGCCCCTGTCTTGGTCCTGCCCAATTCAGTGTGGTTCATTTACTATTATATATTAAGGTCCCTTAGCTATAATATATAAACTCTTTTCCCAAACATGATGGAGAATGGCCCTGGCACTAGTAATTTAACATTTAATTGAGTAGAAGCAGATATTATGAATAATTACAAAGTGTTTACAAATAATTTTATCAACAGTATTAAATAACATTATAATAGTAACATTTAAAATTATTAGTAAACTAAGTTGGGCATTACTTTACAAATTGGTTCATATTAGCATCAGAATAAAATATGCAACTCAAAAACTGAAAAATACATATGTAACTTTTAAAAGATGACCAAAGTACTCAAGACTACAAAAAAGTATTCTTTTTAATGTGTTACATTTATGAGTCCACTGTGTCTGTCAAATTCAAAGAGAAATAACAATGTTCTGTTTTCTAAATACACAAGTTATCACTAAAAGACCATTGTAAATTTTACCTGGAATATGCTTCTTTGGTGGTTCTGCATGATAAAAGTCAACAATACACTTACAAATTTGTATCCTCAATTCAGAACTTGGTATTTTCATTAAGTCACCTGCCAGAAAGATAAACAGGTGCTATTTATTAACACTGTCATAAGCTTATTTGCAGAATTTAGGCATAAAATGTTAATAATATGATGATTATTAAAAATATACTCAGAGATTCAAACTGGATCATGTTCAATTTATATACATATTTTTTATACATATGCTCACACACATACATATATATACATATAAACAGTACCCTGGATCCATCCTTATACATTTGGCCCCTCAATCAATTCAGCCTCCCCTTTCCAGGGAGAAAAGAATGATGCTTATTAACACAAATGCTAGAACCAGGCTGTCTAAGATTAAATCCCGGCTCTGCCATTTACTACCTGTGTAAACTTGTGTCTTAGTTTTCTCATCTATTAAACAGGTATAACAATAGTTATCAGATTTAAGAGTGTTGTGAGGATTAAATTAGCTAATATGAGAAAAGGACTGAGAAAAGTGTCTAGCATATTGTAAGTTCTTTATGTGTTAGATACTATTACTATTTTGAAAAAATATAGGTTAGCATTTTTCTCCCTAACTAGAGGGTCAGTAATTTTTTGCCTTTAATAATGCATTCTTTGCTTTAGAGAAGTTCCAGATGAACTTTGCTTTTCAATTTGTTGGCAGACTGGGAGACAGTGAGTGTTTAGGGAGTTGCCCCACAGGCAAAGGTAATAGTTTTATGTTCAAGCTGTCTGCATGGGGTTGGTGAATAGGAGGGTTCCTTTTCAGTCATAGCTAAACTATACTTAAATTGGCTTCAGCCTGTATTTCAAACTGGATTGCATCTACTCTGTTGAAGTCCTCTAAGTATGATCCCCAAGGGTATCTGAAAAGGATCTGTGTAACTCTGGAAATGATCCAGGTTCTCTGAATGCCTGAGGACAGCTATAGTCAGTAGTATCAGCCTTAGAACTGAACCAGAACTGCTTGGACTCTCTGAGAGTAAAAGATAATTAGAAATTTCTCTTTTGCATTAGCCCTTGCATGAAGCTCATCTCTGGAGGTGGTCAGCAAGTGGGGAGGCAAGTGGACAGGAGGAGGAAGCACAAAGGAAAGCCTGACCCTAGCTTTAGGAGACTCTGTCTGCAAAACATACGGCTTTAAAAAGACAGTTTTAAGATTATTCTAAGTTTTATTTATGTTTTGAACTGTTCTTTGGAATTGCAAAATAAGTACTTAGGTTTTAAAAAGTTTTAGGCAACAGGAGCAACAAAGCTTTTCTGAGACTATCCAAATATGCAGGATTATGGGAAATTCTAGGAACTTTCGTCTGCTTTTCCACTGTTTTAGTTCCTGTAAATTTAGATAGTTTATCATAGCTTCCTGTTTCATCATCTCAGGGCAGAGTACCAATTTCTTCTCTCATCCATTTCCAGAATCTTGTTTCTGAGTCAGAAATATCTATGTATCATTTGGAAGAAAATGTTATATAACTTATTAGTACATAGTAGAAACTGAAAGTTATTACTAAAAATCATGAATAGTTTTTGTTCAACATTTCATCTTATATACAGTTATTTTAGTTTAAACTAATGTTTCAAGCCATTAAAAAAAACTAAGAGACAGAACAGGAGTACTTGCAGTCAGTAATCGGTGAAAGAAGCTCATTTGAAGTTAGGAGTTCATACTGTCCTCAAATGAGATAGTAGTGACATGTTCTGCTGGCACAGGACCAGTCATTAAGCAAAGAACAAGCTGATAGTAAGAAATGGGCCATGTATTTATAATAAAAGTGACTGCCAACACTCTTGGAAGCAATACTTTAACATAATGGCAACAGGGGTATTTCAAAAAATAATGTTGCCAACCAAAACCATACTTCTTATCTGTTAAATACTACCATGTCCTCTTTTGGGTTAGATTCTCACTGTAAATTTCCACTGATGATAGAGAATAACAGAATTTAAAAATTCCCATTATTTCCGAACCTGCCTGCTTCCTAAGGTGTTTTTCTTTAATGCCCTGCCCAGCCCCCATGTTTAACCTAATCACCTTGACTCTAGGTCACAGAGTAGGTGAATCCTAGGCAATTTTTTGAAAGTAGCAAAAATTAAAATCCATAAAACCTGCTGAGATATAAAAGGGTTAGTGTCTATGTTAAAAATAAAAATGCTTTTTTTCTTCATTCTAGTTAAATCTCTAACATCTTTTTGTATGGAGTATAATTCTGGGAACATAACTATTCAATAAATATTTTTTAAAAGGTATTGGATCAATTGTGTATCTTTCATTCCTCCTGTACAAATAAAGATGTAAACTAATAAGTATAAATTTAATGTAGGATTTGTTTTGGGAACATGCTGTCATGTCCCAGGAGCTGACTCAAAGAGCTAGTGTTTCCCTTATCTAATATCCTAGGAAATTGCTTTCTTTCTCAGGAAAATCGAGTGATAACCCATATATAAATGCCTACCCCTTTATGATATTTTTCATATTTAGTGTACAAAATACAGGCATCTGCATCTTTATGTGTATTATGCTAAAGTTCTCAATATGCTATTATTTTATGATTTGATTTAAAATTTTAGATCATTTAATGAATAATTCTATGATTGTAGCATCTAAGTATTAGAGTTCAAAGTTGAAATGTTTTTGTGATTACTTAAAAAGGGGATGCATACTTTCTGATACAAAAATAGTTAACAAACATTTCATCAAATTAAATAATAATTTATTAAACTAAATAATCAGCCTGTCCTTGTACTTAAGGGACACAGACTTTTACTAGTATCATGAAACACCTGAGCAGAATACAGTACCAGAATTATCACCGAACATACTCTGATTAATTTCCTACCAGAAAATAAGAGAAGATCCTAGACATGGAGAAGGAGTTCTCTTAGTCAAACTTGAAGAAAATAAATACTTCCTTGTCAGTAGGACCTGTCATGTGTTACATCCACCTTAAGGAAATCTTAACTTACCCAGAAGTGCAATTGAATTAGCAGTATCTTCAGCATAAGTTATTTCATCCGATACTTTCTTTTTCAAAAATGGCAAGCTTCAATAAGAATAGTAAGAGTAATTTTTAATAAAGTATTTGATTGAAGCATCATTTGTAAGTGGGGGAGATTTCATTTCTAAAGAATAAATTAATAATAATATTCTATTCTTTAGCCCTGGGGAATTGACAACTATTAATTACTAGTTGTAATACATAGTATTATACTTTAATAGTATTATAACTGTTTCTGGGGCCTGGCACGGTGACTCATGCCAGTAATCCCAGAACTTTGGGAGGCCAAGGTGGACGGATCATGAGGTCAATCAATTGAGACCATCCTGGCCAACATGGTGAAACCCTGTCTCTACTAAAAATACAAAAATTAGCTAGGTGTGGTGGCACGCACCTATAGTCCCAGCTACTCAGGAGGCTGAGACAGGAGAATCACTTGAACCAGGGAGGCATGGGCTACAGTGAGGCGAAATCATGGCACTGCACTCCAGCCAGGCAACAGAGGAAGACTCTGTCTCAAAAAAAAAAAGTTTCTAATGAACTGACCAAAAAAAATTATATTAATTATAAAAATTAAGAGATGGATGTAAAAGGCACAGGTTAAGGAATAAAAACTTAGGAACCCTCTTTCTCTTTGAGGTCAAAATAGTAATTCTATCAAAGTTAGAACAACATTGGAAAATCTGATACAAACCATAGATTTAAGCTCACTAATAACTTAAAAACTGGTTAAGAGTTTTTCCTGAAATTTCCAAAACTCTAGCCAAAATCAAATAATTTATTCATTCTTCAGTGCCTTTTTCCTTATTAGCTGGGTTAGTTACTAACTACAAAATAACAGAATGCTTTTGCAGACATTAAGGTATTCAAGTTTACAAATATTATTATATTAGAATTGCATTTCATGCCATCATAACAAAGTTATTTGAAAGTAACTTATTTATAAATCTTAAAGATCCAGCACATAAACCTGGGTCAATCTAAATTTCAAAGGAATTATAAAAGTTATTCTTAAATATATAAACTATCTTGATATTTCATGAGTTCAAAATGTGAACCTCCTATGCTATTTAAAGTACAACATATCCTATATAGAGAGGACTTTAAATTCATGTTTTTAAAGAAAAACTAAACAAGTGGTTGAAAACAGCAGTGAGAACTATCACATGAGGATGTATTAATAGCATATAAGACCAATTTGAATTTAACGAAATATCTGAAGAGCAAGCTACAAAAAGGACAATTTTACAAATGCCACAGAAGTTCATTTCTAGTGTTTGTCAGAATTTGTCATTTGAAACAAATAATGTATATTTGTTATCCAGCTGCTTGTTGGATCTCTAAAGTGAAGGACTCTGAAACTAGTACTTTTTGTCAACCTTTTTCCTTTTCTAGCAAAGGAGACAACCTATAAGATAAAGCATCAGAAGAGTTTTCAGCCAAAAAGATTATTTAAAAATGAGTATTATACTTCTTTTCTTTTTGAGATGGAGGATCGCTCTGTTGCCCAGGCTGGAGTGCGGTGGTGCGATCTCTGGTCACTGCAACCTCCGCCTCCCAAGTTCAAGCGATTCTCCTGCCATAGCTTCACGAGAAGCTGGGATTACAGGTGGCTGCCATCACACCCAGCTAATTTTTGTATTTTTAGTAGAGACAGGGTTGCATTGTGTTGGCCAGGCTGGTCTCAAACTCCTGACCTCATGATCCGCCCACCTTGGCCTCCCAAAGTGCTGGGATTACAGGCGTGTGCCACTGCGCCTGGCCAGCATTATAGTTCTGATGCAATGAGAAAACTGTACTACTTGGAGGCCAAAACGGAACGCCTTGACATTATTATTCTATTTTCATTGTTTTTATCTTCCAAAAATGTCTTGAAAAGAGAAATAAGTGAGGGTGAGGCATAGAGAAGTTATCTAGACATATACTGAAATTAGAAATGTAGAAAAAATTAACAATGTGAATAATTATGAAATATGAGGGAAAATGAAGACTCCAGTTAAAAAATATTTATCATATTATACAATTAAACATTCCGTGACAAGTTTTCATAGAGAACCAACCCTGTGCAGAGCTCTGTAGGAGCAGAGATGTTGAAAGTAATGCTTATGAACTTGGCATTCTAGGACTTACAAAGCCTTGAAATTTAAGTTTTACATTATATAATCGTATGTCAATATAATAATTTCCAATTCCTGGAAAACACCAGAGCAACCATTTATTTCTTTATTTCCCTCTGTTCCTATTAAAAAGCAAGACATGGTGTAGATATTCAATACATTATTTTGATTATGTTATCCAGATATCGAAAAAATTAAATATAAGTGGTTACAAACATTTCAAATATTATTACTGCTAAATCTAAAAGTGAGAGTTAGAACCTACCATGAATGCATAGTTTTACTAAACTTTTCTATTATTTATATATTTGTATATTAAAGTAAATAATTGCTATTTTAAAAGGTAAATTGGTAGAAAGGTTCAGAAGGTAAATTTGTCAGAAGGGTTTATTCCTCCCTACTACATTACGTTTAACAACTAAAATATTTTAATATATACCTAGATTAGCCACTATGTGGCACCAAGGACCATACACTCTTAGGGAACCAACAGTAGAAAGAATAAGACATGTTAATTGTATAATTCTTACCTCTAACTTACATGTTTAAAATATATGTCAAATGTAATTGTTGATGTTTTATTCTCTCAAATTTCAAAAATCAAGTAAAACATGACATATAACCGAATATATCTTTGAGACCCAAATTTTCTAAAGACAGAGAGAAAAACTAGACTGAAACTATAAGTATATCCATAAGTTCACTCAAGGATTCTCTGAAAAACACTATAATTCCTTGGTTACATCTAATATCATTCACTTGATAGCAACTAATTACAAGAAAGCATTTCAGTATACTTACAATTTAATCTCTTGTGGCTATCAATCTCAGAGCACAGAAAATTGATTACCTGAAGTATCAACTGCTGGAATCAAGTGTTGACCTGAAGTTGTCTGAGTTCTGTAGCAATCTGCTACACTATAATGCATAGTATGTTTGTGATATAAGAAACATAATAAAATATTCCATGCTAATACAAAACAAAGTTAAAGAAAGATAACTTACCCACACAATTTTATGATATCATATGCAGATTCTATAAAACGAGGCTGGTTTTTTATTTTTCCTGCACACAGATTCAGAATTTTAAATATCTGTGCTAAATCCCTTAATGGCTTTAATATGTTTAGTTAAGAAATAAAATTAATATTAATATTTTTATTAACATACTCTTTATAATAATTCTGTGAAAAAAGTCTAGAATTCCAACTATTTTGTTAAATGCAGTAGATACTATTTTAATTATTCTTATTTTGAAGTCTAAGAAAGGAAATTTAGAACCACATTTTTTAAGAAAACTATTTTCTTTTTGCCTCAGTAAACTACTCACAATTTTTTTCCTCTCGGAACTGAAGAGTTGGATTACCAACTGCTACAACACAGATTCAGTTGATCAATAATTTCCCCACTGGCAACGAGTAATAGCACATTGAAAACATTAATTTATTGATTAGGCTCAATTATACCCTTCATCTTCCTCCCCCACCCCACCCACACACACATATTCTGTCTCATAATAAGCAACCCAAACCTACTTTACTCCACTATTTTATTAACATTAAAACTCAGATGCATTTTCCAGTATTTAAGGTTTAAATTGGTTAGGATTTTATCTGAAACTAATATGAAAGCAAAATATAGCCTTTCTAGATCTTCAGATAAAAGTATCTTTTATTTTATCTATTAAAAATCCTATTGGCACATAAACACAATTCATTGATTTTGTTTTACAGTTAAGAAATTATGGTAGATGTGACTTACTCTTGTTGGTGAATCTTATTACTTCTAGCCTTTCTCTAGGACCTCTTAGAAAGAGATGGGAGAGCTGGGCACACTGGAAATAAAAAGCTCTGTTAACCTCCTAGAGAAGTGACCAACACACGTCTCTAACTTTGGTAAGTTTTACCACTTCTATAGCCAGCCTATGAAAAGAATTCAGAAATAGAGCCAATTGCCACCAATGGTTTAACTTGAAGAAAAACAATGATGGAGATGTGGAGGTGTCAGGTTAAAACAGGAAAAGAAATCACCTGCTACTAGACTTTTTCAGCTACCAGTAAATAGGGCTTGATATACAGGAGCCCTAAGATTGAACGGGTCAAAATAAAACCAAGGCTAAAATATAATAATAAAATATTTAGATAAAATTTTAAGAAACATTTTCCTGAATGGAAGCCTTAAGAGGTTTTGAACTGGAACAAGCTAATATTAGAGCTTGATAACTTTTATTTTTTTCTTTTTTAAAGACAGGGTCTCACTCAGTCACCCCCACCCAGGTTGGAGTGCAATGGCACAAACACGGCTCACTGCAGCCTTGAATTCCTGGGCTCAAACGATCCTTCCACCTCAGTCTCAGCCTCTGGAGAAGATAGAACTACAGGTGTGCACCACCATACATGGCTTTTTTTTTTTTTTTTTTTTTTTTTTGGTAGAGACAGGTCATGCTATGTTGCCCAGGCTGGTTTCAAACTCCTGGTCTCAAATGATCCTCCTACCTTAGCCTCCTAAGGTGTTGAGATCACAGGCATGAGCCACAATGCATGGGCTTGATACCTTCTTTAGACCAAGTCAGAAAACTGTTCAAGATCATTTTCAGGGGTGTCCAATCTTTTGGATTCCCTGGCCCACACTGGAAGAATTGTCTTGGGTCACAGATAGATCAAATACTCTAACACTAATGATAGCTGATGAGCTAAAACAAATTGAAAAAAAAATCTCATAATGTTTAAGGAAGTTTACAAATTTATGTCGAGACACATTCAAAGCCATCCTGGGTGGCATGCATACCATAGGTTGAGGGTTGGACAAGCTTGATTTAGATGAATACTATTCAAAGTGTGGTCTATGAACCACTGTCAGTTCTGGAAATGTATTTACCAGTCTGTGACAAAATGAATACAGAAAGCAAGAGTGGATATATGAAAACTTTTATAACAACCTAATATTTGTGTGATACTTTTATTTTATTTTGCAATAGCATATATATGTAAATTTTTTTTTAATGGCCAGCTGCGGTGGCTCACACCTGTAATCCCAGCACTTTGGGAGGCCAAGGTGAGAGGATTATTGGAGCTCAGCAATTCAAGACCAACCTGGACAACATAATGAAACTCCACAAAAATAAAATAAAGAAAGCTGGGCATGGTGGCTGCATGCCTGTAGTCCCAGCTGCTTGGGAGGCTGAGGTGGGAGGATCACTTGAGCCCAGGGGTTTGAAGTCACAGTGCGCTATGACTGCATCACTGTACTCCAGCCTGGGCAACTAAGGCAGGATGGAGACCCTGTCTCAAAAAAAAAAAAAAACCACACCCAAAAACCAAATCACAACCCAACAACAAACTGGTTCTTATCTACATGTACTAGTTGTTTGTTTGTTTTTGAGAGGGGGTCTCACTCAGTTGCCCACACTGGAGTGTAGTGTCACGATCTTAGATCACTGTAACCTTGAATTCTTGGGCTTCAGCAATCCTTCTATCTTAGCCTCCCCAGCAGCTAGGAATATGGGCACACACCCACACCTGGCTATTTGTTTTTCTATAGAGGCAAAAACTTGACATGTTGACCTATCTAGTCTTGACCTCCTAGCCTCAAGCAGTCCTCCTGCCTTGGCCTCCCAAAGTGCTGGGATTATAGGTGTAAGCCATCACACCTGGCTTTTATGTATAGATAGTTTTAAGACATACTGGTCTCCATGTATTCTGATCAGGGTGGTAAACTTAGTGAGAATAATATATAATATTTTGCAGATTATCAAGCACTTGCATGTATATAATCTCATCTAACCTTCCTAACAACCTCATGAGCTTCTATTACTTTATAAGGGTGGAGAAGTGAAGAAGCTTATCAAAGGTATACTGCCCATGTAAATTAATAGAAACAAGACTTTGATTTGGCCCTCCTAACTACACCCATTGTTTTACTGAATCTACAAAAACTGACATTATCCACAGTTACTTGTGTTATATTGTTTCTTCAATTTTATTTACATTTTCTGATAGAAAATACAGTTTTGTAAAAATAAATAAATAAATAAAATGTTAGATATTTTATGTGGTAGACAGAATAATGGCCTCTCCAGTTTTCCTGAGGTAGACAGATTAATGGCCTTCCCCACGATGTCCATGTCCTAATTCCTGGAGTCTGTAACTATGTTACATGGCAAAGGGGCTTTTCACATGATTAGGGATTTTGAGATAAGAAAATTATTCTAGACTATCCAGGTGTGCGCACCATAATCACAGGCATCCTCATACAGGAAAGAGGGAGGCAGGGAGGGTCAGAGAGAGAAGATGATGTGATGACAGGAGCAGAGGTGACAGTGATGCCAGTGGGCAGAAGAGAGCATGAGGCAAGGAATCCAGGAAGCCTCCAGAAGCTGGGGAAGGCAAGGAAATGATTCTCCTCTAGAGTCTTCAGGAAGAACCAGTGCTGTCAACATCTTGACTTAGTCTAGTGAGGTAGATTTTGGATTTCTAACCTCCAAAACTGTAAGATAATAACTTTATGTTGTTTTAAGCCATCAAATTTGTGGTAATTTGTTACAACAGGAATAGAAAACTAATATATTTTCTAACAGAAATTCTCTTGTTTCAGAATAAATGAAATGAACATGTATACATACACATGTAAAGGATACAAGTCCATTCTGATAACACTGTACCAGTTTCTTGACAAATTTAAGTTGTTTTTCTTCTAAGCCATCCTAAAACAAATGACCTGTTTTACTTCTTTTGTGCTATTAAATTTGTTGAGATTTTAAAAAATTCTTCAACATCAAAAGTAGACACATTAATATTATCAAGTAATTCTTAAATTCCTATATTATAATGTAAATATTATAAAATGTTTTCTGAAACAGTGAAGGTAAAAATAAACTATTAGAACTACTGTATGATCTAGCAATATCACTACTGGGTATTTATCCAAAGGAAAGGAAATCAGTATATCAAAGAGATACCTACAATCCCATGTTTACTGCAGCACTATTCATAACAGCAAAGATATGGAATCAACCTAAGATAATGAATGGATGAAGAAAATATGGTATACATACACAATGAAATATTATTAAGCAATAAAGAATGAAATCCTGTCATTTGTAGCAGCATGGATAGAACTAGAAGATATTAAGTGAAATAAGCCAGGTTTAGAAAGATAAATATCACACATTTTCACTCATGTGGAGGCTAAAAAAGTTGTTCTCATGGAGACATAGACTAGAATGATAATTACAAAAGGTAGGAAGACTGTGATGGTGAATATTTGATAGCAAAATAGGGTGATTCTAGTTAACAGCAATGTAGTATGTATTTCCAAATAGTTAGAAGAGGGATTTGAAATGCTCCCAACACATAGAAATGATAAATGCTAGAGGTGATGGATACCCTAAATACTGACTTGATCATTACACATTTTATGCACGTAACAAAGTATCACAAGTACCCCATAAACATGTACAAATATTATGTAACAAAAATAAACTATCATTTAATTTTGATTAGGAAATTGGGAATCAAAACTAGGTTAATATAAAACCAGTAATTTTTTCCAGAAATAATATTAACAACAACTGAAGTACACTGAATTTTTTTCTATGCCATGTACCACGTGGGCACCACATATACTTATCACTTCATTAATTTCCAAAATGACCCTGTTAGGAAGATACTATTATGATCTCTCTTTTCCAGAACAGGAAACACAAGCTGAAACACTTTAAAGTAATGTGTCCAAAATAAATAGCTAAAAAGTGGTGATGTTAGAAGTCAAATTTGGAAAGCTGACTCTAGAAATTGTACTTTTAACCTCTAAGATATGCTCAGTGTTCTATGCAAGCCAAACATCTTAAATCAATTAAAAATGAAAATAAGCAAAACTTCTACATAGTGATGTGTTTCCATGACTGAATTCCATCTGTCCTTTTTATCTTAAATGTTTCTGAAAAGCTGTGATATTGTCTACACTTTTTCTCTGTAGCCTTATTAAACAGCTAATAGGA